CGCCCCCCCCTTGATTTTCATCGACCATACGTAGCTTGAATAACCAGTGCGTTCTGTGCTGTGCCCTTCCTACCACTCTGGATGGATGTTGTTTCTTTAACTACATAGTTGTCAGACTTTCATTCAACTTGATTTCTGACGTTTCTGAGTGATGGTTGTTCTATATTTTAGTTATAATTTTGATGTGGTTGCGCGAGGCGGTGAACCATGTCTTCCTGTGTCACCGTCTTGACCGGAAGTCCTCCAGCATAGTTGTTTATTTTGTGGCTAGTTTACTTATCTCTGTATGGGAAAGGAGGGTGGAAGAACTTAATCTGTGTGACATTTCTAGGACAGTAGTGATAAGCAGTAAGCACCTGCTCAGTAAATGTTAGGACCCATGATTTCACCAGCAGTGTAATAGCACTTCCTGCCTGTATGTACCTTGCATGTGATGCTGGCTGTGACTCTTGAGGGACTGGTCTCAGCACCGGCCTACAGAAGAAGAACCAGGCTCAGAGAAGTTAAGTCACTTATCCAGCGTTGTGCAGTTGATAGGCGATAGAGTCCATGCTCAGAGTCTCAGTTGCTCAGTAACCTTGGCCTTGTGACTGCATCTCCTCCAGTGACCTACTATGTACCCCTGAGCTTCAGGACCCCTCTGTCAGTGGGACCAGTGAAGGTCCTTTTGTGAGTAAAAGCAGGTCCTTACCACAATACAGGCCCACAGTTCTGCCTCCCTCTCTGGCTGGATCTTCCTTCTTGTGATTTCTTTGTGACAGATACATCCTCAGCTGTTGCAAATTACTAGGGGCAGGGATAAGTCACAGTCCCTTTGGATATTAAAATATACCGTCCTTTTCTCTACCCCACGTCCTGGAGGTAGTGGAGGAGAACCTGTTTTCTGTTCACACTTCTGTCATTTCAACCTTCGCCGTGAGGTCAGAGTAATCCCAGCCCAGAATCCTGCCAAAGTGTGTTCTCAGTCTTTGTTCTGTACTGCATTCGGTACCACCTAGAATGAAACTCATTTGAAAGAAAAAGAAAAAGACCAATAGCGCCAAGTGTTGACATAGATGGAGAGGAACTGGAAGGCTTACCCGCTGTTCAGGGGAGGGTGGTGTGTAGAATTGTAGTACCAATTTGGAAAACTGCCAGTGTCTACCAAAGCTAAATTTATGTCTGCCTTATGATTGTCATTGTCAGTTCCACTCCTAGAAATCCAAGAAAAATTAGTGCGCGTGTACCCCAGGTGACTTTGTTCATAGCAGTTTTATTCACGCTAGCCCAAACCTGGTTAGCACAGTGACAACTAAAGTTAGTACAGGACAACTAAAGAAGAACGAATGACTGCTATAACCCAGCAACATGGATGGCCCTCCCACATGAGCAAAAGGACACTGCTGTGTGATTGGCTTTTCAGATGCAGTTCAGTAACACGTGAAACTAATCTACAGTGAGAGTCAGGACAGTGGTTCTGCCTGGGAGGGTGGTTTCCACTGGGAAAGGAGCTGAGGAATGTCGGAAATGCTGTGTCTGATCTAGGATTCATCCAGATGTGTACCTACAGTCGGGGTACTTTAGGTATGCTACAACTCATTACAGGTAAATTAAGTGAAAGGCCCCTGTTCAGTACTATCTTGTGGACCAGAGAGCTGCTCCCCGTTTTGTTTTCCTGGACTTTCCACCACGACGGAGCTTGTCCCTGCTTGGCACCAGCATCGTGATTAGGCTCCTCAGTGTTTGACAGACCCTCACCCACTGTGCCACCTAGGATGGTTTTTGTGTCTGCACTTTTTGGGGTCCCCATTACTGTTACTCTCCACATGCCTGAGCTTTCACTCCTCAAGCTAGTTTGCTGGTGGTGGCTCCATCTACTTATTTTTAGAGAGAGGGGCAGGGAGGGATAAAGAGAGGAAGAGAAACATCAGTGTTTGGTTGCTTCTTGTGTGTGTGTCCCCAAATGGGGACCTGGCCCACAACCCAAGCATGTGCCCTGACCGGAATTGAACTGGTGATCTTTAATTCACACGCTGGTACTCAATACAGTGAGCCACACTGGGCACATATACCATCTTAAGTGTGTTGTGGGCTGGGATGGGAGTAAAAGACAGAAAACTGTACTTGAACAACAATTAAATTTAAAAAATACCATCCATTTACTCTTGACTCCCAGATTGGTATCTGGGGGGGAAAAAGTGTGTTGTGAAACCCTGTGCTTCTCAAAAGTGAATGTTACCATATTTTGGCACAAAAGTTTCTATTTTTATTTTTTGATGCCTTCCGCTGTGGGTGCTATATGTTGTTATTGAAGTTGGTGCTGCTCCGTGGAGGCAGTTAATTCCCAGAGGTACCAGGTCTTTTGATGGGAAGGTCTGATGCTAAGTATAAAGTACTTTTAGAAGGGCCACCATTGCAAAGGCCTTTACCAGTGTTTGCCTGTCGGCATGTCTGCCTTTAGATAGGGAGGTGATGTTCTCTAGGTGGCTCGGGTTCTATTTTGCTGTCAGTTTCAGTTAGCTTGGCTTTGAATAGACAGCTCCGAGTGAGAAAGAAACCCTGAGCTGATGGATGCTTTGGGATTCTTTAAGGATATGCAGGACCACCGTTTTTCTCCCACTTCACTGTAGTGTTCTGTCTGCCTGAGAGGGCCTGTGGACATGAAGGGGCCAAAGAAGAGCCCCGGGCAGCCATTGTCCTTTGTCCAGTCACATCCACATCAGTGTTGCCTGGCTTCCCACCTGTGAAGTGTGACTGCAGGTGCATCCTCCCGTAGACAAACACCTGGCCAGAGGTTTGAGACTCAGAATCAGCATTTTAACAAACTATAGATACAGAATACAGACTGCTGTCAGGTGGCAGAGACTGGGGCGGCTGCTGGATCAAACAGGATCCTGCTTCTGCGGCAGAAAGTGTAAACATGCACACAGAACTGAATCAGGTCAGAGTTTGCTTCCAAATGAATCTGTCTTGAATGTATATATGTATTTTTAAAAATTTAGTTTGTTTTTCCCCTGAGCTTGGGTTTGGATTTGTGGGGAAGGGACTGTGATCAGACACGTAATCTGCAGCTCTCTTGTGCGGTTGATTTAAAGCCCAGCATTGAGGCTCCTTGAGCTTTGGGGGAAACCGGGGCACCCAGGGGACGGAGGAGCATTTTCTCGCCTGTTGGGGTCTGTTCATGGTCAGGCCGGTGTGCTGGCCACCGGTTTCTGCCCTGGCACAGTTCCCGATCCTCTCTGTGCTAATTGTTTGGTCATGAAACGAATAAAGAAATTTGGGCTTTTGTTCTCTTATCAAGGAAAATACCTCCACTTTTCAGATTAAACCTTTTTTTAATCAAGAGAATTAAAAAGGTCCGTGAACTTCCTAACAGAACTTATTCCTTAGAACCACAAGTGCCCAATAATGTCTAGGGACAAGAAGCCTCATTGTAAAACAAACAAAAATTCCACAGAAACAAAAAGTAGACTTGTGACATGCCAACAGGATAGGGGCTTTTCAGTAATTTTGGATGCACAGAGTGAGAGAATGGGGTGGGACCACTAGAGTTCATGAGGTTTTGAACACTATTTATTAGATGATAAAAATGGTCATAGGTATGATTATAGGAAGAACAGCTTTGTGTGCTTCCAGTGTGCCGGATGATTCTGTTGAAGGAGAGAGTGTGTGTCTGTACGTGGAACAGCCTACACAGAGGGAGGCGCTGAAGTGTGGCAGGCTCCCAGAGACAGCACCAGGGCAGCTCTCCGTCCTAAGAAGGACCACCCTGGATGTCTCAGGTTAATTATCACCACTCTGGGGGGCTCGGGGGAGCCCCCCAGCCCTCTCCTCACACACCTCCTCCCTCAGTGGGTTGGGAAGGGTAAGGAGGACAGAGTTGCTTCTTTCTCTCTGTAGCAGCAGCAAGCACTTTCTGTGCCTGGTGAGATGATGGGTGATTTTAAGCTTCTGTATTCCTTTTGTGTTTTCCAGATTCCACCACTGAGACTTTATTACTCCGTCATGATGAAAGAGGTTATTAAAGAAAGTGTTATTTAAGGCCATATAACCACATAGCAGATTAAGAGTTACCTGAAAATTGAACTCTTATTGTAGAAAGCATTTATAAACTGTATCAGCTCATGGTCCTATCTGAGCAAGCATAATTTATCAGTATCATTGAATTTTTAAAAAAGATTTAAAAAAATATATTTTTAAAGAGAAGGGAAGGGAGGGAGAAAGGTACAGAAGATGTCAGTGTGTGGTTGCCTCTAGTGTGCCCCGCACTGGCGATCTGGCCTGCAGTCCAGGCAAGTGCCCTGCCTGGGAATCGAACTGGTGACCCTTTGGTTCACAGACTGGCACTTATGTCACTGAGCCACACCAGCCAGAGCTGAAAAAAATTTTTTTTTAATTTTAGCTTACTTCTGGACTTGTTGGAGGCCCTGGGTCATAGTTCTGGGTGTCATTTTTTAGTTAACAGTATTCATCAAACTAGACGCTTGATTATTACTCTTCAAAGTATTTGAAATGGCAGAGTACCATTATTCATGTAATAATTTTTTTTAATGAACCTACTTCTTAAACTTAAATTCACTTATTTTAAAGGAAACTTGGTCTTACCTTAAAAGGAAAACCAGTATTACTTGCCACGAGTATTTGTTTTTGTTGAATTTATGAGGGTCCAGTCAGATGCTGTTGCTGGCAAAGGCGCTGAGCCTTAGGCACGCTCTCCTTTTTGTACATTGGAAGGCGAGCAAGCATTAGAGTGGTGTGAAGTGGGGATCAGCACGACCCTTTGTTGTAATCAGAAAGATGGGAAGAGGAGCGAAGCCCCCCGCCTCCTGAGTCCCACCCTTCCTCAGGGGATTTTTATGTTTTTTTGTATGACCTCCTCCCAGAGAAATGGAGGGGAAAGGTCTGGGTAATAGGGGCTTGCATGTCAAAGGCACCATCTCCCTGTCAGATGTGTGCTTCTGATGTGACTCTGATCTCAGCTGATGGCCATGAACCCCAGACTGACTTTGACTTTCTGGCAGGAGACCACCGTCCGAAGCTCCTGTGAAGATGTCCACTCCAGACCCACCCCTGGGCGGAACTCCTCGGCCAGGCCCTTCCCCGGGCCCAGGCCCCTCCCCGGGAGCCATGCTGGGCCCCAGCCCTGGTCCCTCCCCTGGCTCTGCCCACAGCATGATGGGGCCCAGTCCGGGCCCTCCTTCAGCAGGACACCCTATCCCAAGCCAGGGGCCTGGAGGGTACCCTCAGGACAACATGCACCAGATGCACAAGGTAGGGAGTCCTGGGCCCATTGCCCTGACTGGATGGGTTCACTGGGTTAGAGGAGGGAGGGTGAGCCATTCGTCCTGGCCCCTGCTGTGAGCTAGCAGTCACCATTCTACTTTTAACCCCCTGCTCTTTCCTGGCGCCCTGGTCTGGTTGTCTCCTTCCTTGCCTTTCAAACACCGGTCTCCTAGGTGGTCACCCTCTACGGGTCGGCATTATTTTATGTATCTGCTTGACACCTAAATAGCTGTCAGAACTTGTTTTGGTCTTAGGCCACTTGGTCATGTTGGCAGTTGAGCAGATGGCATGGTGTTTTCAGTGACATTGAACTCTCGGGCAGTGCTTTGCTGCGCCACCTCCTCCTGTCCCCCCTTGCTGATTTTGCCTTGTCATTTTCCCTCTTGTAGCCAATGGAGTCCATGCATGAGAAGGGCATGTCCGAAGACCCTCGCTACAACCAGATGAAGGGCATGGGGATGCGGACAGGGGGCCACGCAGGGATGGGGCCTCCGCCGAGCCCCATGGACCAGCACTCTCAAGGTAGTGTTTTGTTTCCTTCTTTCCTCGTGTTTGTCACCCGCCAGGAGTCCTGAGGTCATTTTCCTGTTCGGGTCCCCACGGGTGGACAAGGGGGCACACAGGACAATGGGAAACGCTGCCTTGCCAGGGCTGTTGAGCTGGGGCTTGGCTGGAGCCCTGTTCGTGCTGTCTGTCTCGGAGCGGCCCTGGGACAGCGAGTGCTGGTGGGAATGCACTGTTTTCAGTGCCGGATGTGAGATGGCAGCTCTGGTGCCACCTGAGAGTGTGTTAGAAATGCAGATTTCTGGGCCCTACTCCAAACCAGTGGGGTTCAGAATTTTGCGAGTGCGCCCAGGCTGTTATTTAGCAAGTGCTCCAAGTGGCTTTTTCAGGTGTTTGAGAAGTGATTGGAGCAGTTAACTTCTTGTTATTGGGGCAGGAAGCTCAAGGGCTCCCCAGGTAACAGAAGTGAGGGGAGTGGGCTGGGCCAGGGCCAGGGGCAGGAGGCCAGGACCAGAGAACGTTTAGGCCTGTGTAACCTCTCAGTGTGAACTATCAGCAACTTGCTGAAAGGTGGGCTTAAACAAAACCAATCACACTAACTGCCAGCATGTGCCCTCTGAGAGCACCTCATGTTTGAATCACAAGAAATTTTAAAAATTTGGCCATCCCGCGTCTCAGGGTGGGTGCCAGTGTGAGCCTGTGGGGAAGGTTACCGTCTTTGTCTTAAAAATCACTGGATGTGTACTGCCAAGTGACCACTGAACTCTGCATTCCCTGCAGGTTACCCCTCACCACTGGGTGGCTCTGAGCATGCTTCTAGTCCAGTTCCAGCCAGTGGCCCATCCTCGGGCCCACAGATGTCGTCTGGGCCAGGAGGGGCCCCACTGGATGGTGCTGACCCCCAGGCTTTGGGACAGCAGAACCGGGGCCCGACACCGTTTAACCAGAACCAACTGCACCAGCTCAGAGCTCAGATCATGGCCTATAAGATGCTGGCCAGGGGGCAGCCCCTGCCCGACCACCTGCAGATGGCTGTGCAGGGCAAGCGACCAATGCCTGGGATGCAACAGCAGGTGCCAACACTACCTCCACCCTCTGTGTCTGCAACAGGACCCGGCCCTGGCCCTGGGCCTGGCCCTGGGCCTGGCCCAGGACCAGCACCTCCGAATTACAGCAGGCCCCACGGTAAGGCCCACTATTGCTAGCCCTCGGGGGAGGGACGGGTCTCACCAAGTCAGGGCAGCAGTGTCAGGCAGACCTGCTGGGCACAGGTTTCCCCTCGGGGCTGACACAGCACCTGGTACTCAGGGTGCTTAGGCAGGCAGGCAAAGCTCCTGTCAGGCTAAATGTTCTTTATCCCGCCCTGGCCGTATGGCTCAGTGGGTTGAGTACCAGCTTGTGAACCAAAGGGTTGACTGTTTGATTTCTAGTCTAGGGCACATGCCTGGGTTGCAGGCCAGGCCCCTGGTGGGGGACACATGAGAGGCAACCACATATTAATGTTTCTCTCCCTTTCTTTCTCTCTCCCTTGCCCTCTTTCTAAAAATAAGAAAGTAAAAATCTTTTAAAAAAATTCTTCCTCCAGCTTCCTGTGTCCCCCTTGATGCCCACCCAGAGGGGCCGTTGTTGGGAGTGTTCCCTGGAGACAGTGCTGCCCACTGGGGTGGGTGCAGGGTGAACAGAGGATACACTTTATCCTATTATTGGTTTCTCTCTGTGTGTAGGTATGGGAGGGCCCAACATGCCCCCCCCAGGACCCTCAGGTGTGCCCCCCGGGATGCCAGGCCAACCCCCTGGAGGGCCTCCCAAGCCCTGGCCTGAAGGTAAGTTCCCTCTGTCTTGGTGCCATGTCTGTAGTCTGGCTCTTGTCGTGAGCTTACACTGTGCAGAAATGGGGGCGTGCCCGACCGGAGAGAGGGCCAGAGCCCAGTCCTTGCTTCTTCCCACTGTCTTCATTGTGCCTTATCTGGCCCTGGTGATTTTCTGAAGGCTTGGGTTGGTTCCACTCCGTGATTCCTGCCTACCCTTGTCCTGTGGGTCACAGAGATCCTGGGGTCTCGTTAAACTGATAACAAGAAGAGAAGGAAGTGAATGAACAAGTCTACCGTGACTGCAGTGGGAGGCCACAGGGAGGCACAGCTGCAGGCACGACCTTTAGGACACAGTGTGTCCAAGCTTGGAGTTCACAGCTGATGCCCCCCCTCCTGGAATGCCCCCTCACCACTGCGGGAGGCCAGCAGGATGACAGGGCAGCTCGGGGTTCTGCGTCCTCATTGTGTGCAGCCGCTCTTCTTCCGTTAGAGGTCAGCACGTATTTGAGGGTCCTTCTGTTGGATGGAAGCAGTAGACAAAATGGATTCGTTTCCTGTCCCATTAGACCCTGAGGTTTAGTGATGGACAAGGATGAGCTAATCGCTTAAATCAGATTTCTTCTGAGTCTTGGTAGATGGAAGTCAGGAAAATGCTGCCCAGGAAGACCAAACTGTGGGTCAGCATTTGGGTCAGTACAGGGCTTCAGGGAAGGGCATATAGGCGGAGATCAGGAAGAGGCTTGAACTATAAGACAGGAGATAGGAGACTCCTGAGTGAGAAGCTGCTTGCCATGCCAGGTGCAGTGAGATGCGGGAAGATGGGGGAGGTGTGGCCTGCACGGTTTGTACCCAGGGCAGTGAGCACCAAGTAGGCTTTTTATTTCTCCGTGGAATTGACCCGGAGCTAAACACTGTGCCCCTGCTACTTGACTCCCCAGGACCCATGGCAAATGCTGCTGCCCCCACGAGCACACCTCAGAAGCTGATCCCCCCTCAGCCCACCGGCCGTCCCTCACCCGCACCCCCCGCTGTCCCACCTGCCGCCTCTCCCGTGATGCCACCCCAAACACAGTCGCCGGGTCAACCAGCCCAGCCTGCACCAATGGTACCACTGCACCAGAAGCAAAGCCGCATCACCCCCATCCAGAAACCCCGGGGCCTGGACCCTGTGGAGATTCTACAGGAGCGGGAGTACAGGTAAGGGGGCTGCTGTGCTCCCGGCCACCCCAGCTGAGTCAGCCCTGATGCACACTGGTATGGTTCGCAGTTTCAAAGGCCAGTGGGGTACGCCACCGGAAGTCTCCCTCCGCCTCTGTCTCTAGGCTTCCAGTGCCCTGGTTGCTGTGTATTGTTTCAGGAAAATGCTGTGCATATGCAAGTAGACAGGTACAGGCAGCCATATATTGTCTCTAAATGGTTCATGATGTATTCCCTGTTCCTCCTATAGAAACATACCGTAGAGATCTTTTTCTGTCTGTCTAAAAGGAGCTTTTTGTTTTTTCTGGTTGCACATAATTCTGCCTGCTAAAGATACTGACATTTATTCATCCAGTCCCCTGGTTGAGTGGACTTGAGGTTATTTCTAATCTGACATTAAGACCATAATGCCATAATAAATACACTTGTGTGATTGTTTCTCATTTCACACATAGCACATATGTCAGAATAAATTCCTGAAAGTTGCATTGCTTGTGTACAGGGAATGCACACAGGAGAATTTCGTAGATTCTTCAAAACTGCCCTCCATAGAGACCATTCAGTTGTACATTGGAGTGAAAGTACCTGTTTCTCCTCACTGACACTGTTCAACTTCGGTTCATCAACCCCTGCCGCTACAAATAAACAGACAAACAGAAAACCCTGTGAACTCTGCAGCTGATCCTGCTTACATGTCACTAGTTGCCGGCTGCTTTGCCAAGGCCTCCTGAATGCCAGGTGCCGTGGGGGATGCCTGGCACACAGTCTGTGTGATGGGGGCACCTGAGATTCACTCCCTGAGCACCTTGTACTTCCTGTTTCCTCACTGCATTTAGAACTTGCTCAGGGCAGGCCTCCCTTGGTGAGTGTAAGCTCCATGAAAGGAGACTGTGCCTCATTCACTGCATGTTCCCAGATGCATTAGTGAACCTTTGCCGGATGACCATCTCTAGAGTGTATCCCAGCTATGACATGCCTTGGAGCTCCAACCTGTGTGGCCAGTTTGAAGAGGACCTGTCTAGATATCTTCATGTTCCTCTGCTTTTCCCTCTCGTCTCTGTTCCCATATACCCATTGCCCAGCAGCTCATGGGGCCACAGACACTGTAGCCCCTTGACTCTTGCTTGCCCTCCCTCATCCCCCTTTGTATAGGTGGTTCATGACCCCTTAACACATCATCTCATCTCAGCCCCGCCATCCACTGTAACTGCCACCTGGTCTGCGCCTCTTCCCTGGGGCCTCCCTGCTCTCGTGCTTGGCTGTGCACTCTATTTCCCACATAGCAGTTGCAAGTCTCTTTTTATAGTTTCCTTGTATCAGCTCTATTTCGCAGGTTAAAACCTGCCATTGGTTTTCATTTATACATTCAGTAAATTTCTTTCTTTTCAGCCGGTGCCCTGTGCTCTGTCCTGACCTACCCACCCCTTCCTTGTTCCCATTTTTGTTTACTTAACAAGTTAGGCTTATTTCTGCCTTAGGGCCTTTTCAGAGGCCCCTGACTTCTTGTGCTCCTTTAGGCCTCATTGCTGAGGTCATCTCATCATAGAGGCCCTGCCCACCTCCTCACCTCCAGCCCTCTCCTCAGAGTACTTGCAATCTCTGGAATTACCATAGATGTTTAATTTTCTAACTCCTTTATGACCTATCTTCCTGATAAGGCTGTGGGCACAAAGGTGCTCAATGAATAGTGTGAAAGACTGAGTAAGGGGATTATCCCCTCTGAACTTCAGGCCCAGCCTGCAGGGATGCTCTGAGGCATCTCCCCCGTTTATTGATGAGGGCACTGCGGCTCCCGGGCTACTCGTAGGTTCCCAGGGCTGGGAGGGAGAGCCTGGCCTGCCTGACTTTAGAGGCTGGCTCACGCTGCTGCACTGCCATAAGTCCTCTGCCCTGTCTGGTTTCCTGTTTGCTATAGCTCTGAGTTCTCTGTGGCTGCCTTCCTCTGTGTTTTGTGGCTGGCATTTATTTTTGAGCCATCTCTTGCCTCATGACCTGTATCTTCCACAAAGGATAGATTCTTCTGAGGCTCCAGCTGTAAGGAAGGGGCACAGGAGGGCCCCTTTGTAGTCCTCTCATTGCCTGCCCTTTTTTCTGTTATTGCATCCCAGGCTGCAGGCTCGCATCGCTCACCGAATTCAGGAACTTGAAAACCTACCCGGGTCGCTGGCCGGGGATTTACGAACCAAAGCAACGATTGAGCTCAAGGCCCTCAGGCTGCTGAACTTCCAGAGGCAGGTGGGTGTGGGTGCAGGCCTGGGGCTTTAGGAAAAGAGCCCTTTCTGCCAACACTGATGCCTAGATTCAAAGAAATGCTTGCTGGGCAATTATTAAATGTTCCTCGACCATTGAAAGCAGCAGTGCCCATCCACACTTGTTAGCTCACTGTTCCCTCCTTCCTCCCCAGGACCTGCGTAGTGGCGGCACATTGGGTATTCTTGGTATGAATAAGCATGGGTCGTCTAAGGTGGCAGCTACCAGCTTAAAGCAGGAAACTTAAATAGGTCAATATCTGAGGGTGCTGTACTTTTGAATTCGCTATGAGACATATTTTGTGTGCGGTTGAGTGAAAGCAGATCTGGAGACCTCCAGGTGATAAGGGGACCTGCTGGGGTATCCAGAAGCAGCTGTCTCCTGACCTGTGCTTGCCCCACCCTCGTGCAGTTGTCAGGCATCCTCCACACACACTTACTTGTGCTTACGGCATTTAGCGAGGACCCTTCAGGAAGCAGCGGCCCTCTGCCTAGGTTGTATGGTGTAATTTTTCATTTTGTTTGGACATGACCAAGATGTGCCCATGTTTTTCCTCTTTCTTCCTGAAGCTGCGGCAGGAAGTGGTGGTGTGTATGAGGAGGGACACGGCCCTTGAGACGGCCCTCAATGCCAAGGCTTACAAACGTAGCAAGCGGCAGTCCCTGCGCGAGGCCCGAATCACCGAGAAGCTGGAGAAGCAGCAGAAGATTGAGCAGGAGCGCAAGCGCCGGCAGAAGCATCAGGTGTGTCTCCAGCAGCTGCACTGCCTGCCCTGCTGACCCACCTGCGTACCTGGGTCCTTACAGCTTGCACATTGTCGAGTCTTGTTCTGTGTCTAAACACGCTGTTTCTCTTTTCTGTTCATGATAACGGTACTCTAGGCACTAAGAATACATTATTGGACAGAACTGAGCAGTAGGGGAAAATGGGCCACAATCCGAAGGGCATGAAACATGTTGGGAGGTGATAGGGTGTAAAGAAACACGAAGCAGCCTTGGAGAGCAATGGGGAGCTCTTGACTCAGGATGGTTGGGGAAGTGTTTTGTGAGGAGGTGAGATCTGAGCAGAGCCCCAAGGATATGAGGGCAAAGAGCTTTCCAGATAGACAGAGAGGTGCAGATGCCCTGGGGCTAATATGTGCTGTGTGTTCTCTAAAAAGCAAGGATCCATGTGGAGCAAGGGAGAGGGCAGGAGGAGGTGAGGACAGGGAGGGGATGGTCACAGCAGGCAGGGCCTTATGGGTTGAGGGGACAAATTGGACCACTGCTCTGGGGGAGGGGGGAGGCGTGGAGCCTCCTGAGCAGAGGAGGGACTGATCCATGTTAGGGTTTACAGGGTCAGTCCAGGAGACCAGCGTCTCTGTTCACATAGGATTTGGGATGATTCTCTTTATTGTCCACTGAGACTTTCTAAAGCTTTCTTCCAGTCAGTGTCTATTACTGGTATAGTTTAAAATAACAGAAAAAGTCAGTACTTGGTGTAGACTGCTGTTAACATTTTGGTGTAAATGCCATTCCAACCTTCTCTGTATATATATAGTAATCAAATGCTGGGATAGGCATTCTTGTTCTTGAAATTTTAGCCAATCTCTGCTATTTCCTTTTTTAAAAAAAATTCTAGCAGTGGAATAACTTGGGCAGGAGCATTGTTAATGGTTAACGTTCACGCCAGCTTGTCTTGGCCAGGCCGATTGCCTGTTGTGTTCAAAGGAGGGCCTTTCCAGCTGCAGCCCCCAGCACTGAGCTCCATCCTCACACAGAGAACACGGAACCTCGTAGGCAAACAGTTACGGTGTTGTTTGATTATGTTGTCTTGGTTTTAAACAAGCTGCCTTTAAAGTTTTGTCTCCCCTGGGAAGTGTTGCAGTGACTCCTGTCAAGTAGCCAGTCTTGTCTTATGTGTCCCCGTAGGAATACCTCAACAGCATTCTTCAGCATGCCAAGGATTTCAAAGAATATCACAGATCCGTCACAGGCAAAATTCAGAAACTCACAAAGGCAGTGGCCACGTACCATGCCAACACAGAACGGGAACAGAAGAAGGAAAATGAGAGAATCGAGAAGGAGAGGATGCGGAGGCTCATGGTAAAATTCTGCATTTGGGACCGAGTATCCCTTTGTGTGCACTGGTGTTGCAGGGGCGGGGAGTCCATCACGCCACATCACACTGAGGCATTCTGCTGCTCGGAGTTAGAGGTGGAACGAAGAGAAACAAAGAGCTTGAGTTTGAGGGTCTGAAAGAATTGGCCTTATACTGGGCCTGGTCACACCAACCATGAGACTGACTGCATGACCTTATCCAGGGAGCTGGATGCTCTTAGGTCCTCTAGAAGGTGAAGGTGGCAGCCTCTCCTGGCTGTGAGCCACCAGTGGTGTGATCTGGAGTCCTCACCCCCATCCTTTGTTTCTGACCGTTTATTTCCAGATGATTCTCTATTTGGGCAGATACTGACAAGCATTATTGTGTGTACAGGGGCAGCAGTATTAAAGAGAACGACACAGCCCCTGCGTTCATGGGCTCCCTCCAGCCCTAGGGAAAGAGATGCCCAAGCAGACAGACAGTTTTGGGTGATTGAAAGTACACTGAAGAGAATGAAGCAGGACAAGGATGAGACTGAGTGGGTGGTACCAGAAGGGTGGGAATGACCCACAAATATGGAAATTTGGAGGAAGTGCCTCCTAGGGATAGAGGAACCAATGTCAAGGGCCTGAAGTGGGAAAAAGCCAATTGCAAGGCACAGCAAGTAGCCCCTGGAACAGAATGGTGCGGGGCTACATTCCTCCATGAAGTCAGAGTCCCAAGGGCAGGTCACCTGGGGCCTTGCAGGCCACTGGGAGGGCTTTGGTTTTACCTCTGAACATGAGCGGAATCATGGAGATTATAAACTGGGGTGATGTAATCTGATTTATTCTTTTCTTTTAAAGATTTTATTTATTTTTTAGAAAGGAGAGGGAGAGGGAAAAAGGAGAGAAACATCAATGTGTGGTTGCCTCTCACATGCCCCCCACTAGGGACCTGGCCTGCAACCCAGGCATGTGCCCTGGACTGGGAATCGAACCATCAACCTTCTGATTTGCAGGCTGATACTCATCCACTGAGCCACACCATCCAGGGCTGGTTTATTCTTAGAAAGCCAGGAGGGGCTTAGGTAGGAGGGTCTGCGGTAGAGATACTGCATCAACCAGGTAGAAGAGAGGATTTGGCTTTGGGGCATGTTTGTGAACAGAGGGAACAGAGCTTGATAGTGGACTTGAAACAGCTGTAGAGAGGACCATGTCTGGCCAGCAGGTTTCTGCAGGGCCTAGCTCTGGGTGAGAGTTGGGGAAATACTGAAGGCAGAGGCGATAGTTGTTTGAAAGGTCTTTATAGAGCACAGCGCTGGGTGTGACTGAGAGCTGCCTAAATGCGAGTCTGGTTGCTCGTTAACAGTAACTGCCACTGGACCTCTTGACTCTGGTTCGCATGTTCTGGGTGCTGATGGGTGAGTGTGCCTGACAAGCAAAAACCATAACCACATGCTTTTGCAGGCGGAAGATGAGGAAGGGTACCGCAAGCTCATCGACCAGAAGAAGGACAAGCGTTTGGCCTACCTCTTACAGCAGACAGATGAGTATGTGGCTAACCTCACGGAGCTTGTACGGCAGCACAAGGCTGCCCAGGTCGCCAAGGAGAAAAAGAAGAAGAAGAAAAAGAAGGTATGCTGGGGACTGGAGTGGCTCTCTTGGTGTGTGCTGCCTCAGCCTCCGTCAGGGAGTGACTGTATCTCTCTACTTCCAGAAGGCAGAAAACGCAGAAGGACAGACACCTGCAATAGGACCTGATGGCGAGGTGAGGAACCTGGGGTTTCTCTTTGTGGACATGTCAACGCAGCTCTGGAGCTTAGATCTATTTCATTCTTTATTTTTATTTCTTCAAGCTGTAAAACTGTATATCATGATGGTAAGAAACCATACATGTCCCCTGCCACCAACCCACCCCCCTCGGCCCCACTACCCAGAGGAAACATTGTTAAATATTAGGCACTTTCTCATAAACCTTTTTCTATGCACGTGCCACAGTATTTATTTTTCAGTTTTTACTTTAATGTAATTTTAGACTCATGAGTGGTCCCAAAACAGTGATGAGCTATGTGTACTCATCACCCAGATTCCCTTTCTTCATATATCTTCGTTTGTCCCTAAATCATTTGAGCATCAGGTGCAGACATGGTAGCCCTCTTCCTCTCTGTGTTTCAGTGTGTATTTCTTTTTTTTTTTTTCAGTGTGTATTTCTTAAAAACACGGTCCTGTTTTCTGTAACTGTGCAGCGGTCAAAAACCAGAAATGAACATGGATGCAATTCCATGCTCTAATCCACAGCCCTTCTGAAGGTCTCTCCAGTTGCCTCCCTAGTGTCCTTCACAGCAACAGAAAACCCTGGTTCACACGTTGCATTCAGTGGTAGTCCCTTTGTCTTTGATCTTAAATAACTCCTCGCTTTTTCTTTGCTTTTTATGACCTTGGAATTTCAAAGGGAGCATAGGCCAGGTGTTTCCTACAGTGTCATTCAATTTGGGTTTGACTGGTGTTTCCCTGTGATTAGATTTGGGTTACATGTTTCGGCAGGAAGACACTGAAGTGATGCTCACCCTTGTTGGTGCATCACATTGGGAGTGTGTGGCACAGATTTGTTCCATCATGGGTGCTGTTGACCTTGATCCTTGATCTCTTGGTATTGGCCACAGCATCCCTGTGAAGTTACTGTTTTTCTTTTGTGATTAAGTACCATGTGAGGAGATACTTGAGGCTATGTACACGTAATTGTAATTTCAAATACTTCCACCCAGTGGATTCAGCATCCATTATATCTGCCTGTATCAATTTTTGCTTCAGTGGTTATGAAATGGTCATTTTCCCACATCATTCCTTCCCTCTTATTTTAGTTGGCTTTCTGCAGGAAGGAAAGGCTTTTTCTTCTTTCCCATTTGGCCCTACGAAACATAGTGCCATCTCATGGGTGTCAGTGTGGTTTGGAGTTCTTCATCCCAAGCCTGTTCTCTGAATATTATGTACAGAAGTTACTTGAACGAGATCTCCCTTTGTGCCCATCAGTGTGACTTCCCCCACCCTGTTGGTTTTACTTATTTACTCATTGTTGATTTAGTTAGGTTGTGAAACACTGGCTTGTTCCAAAAGTCAGAACCGTACAAAGTGGCCCACTCAGAGAGGGGTTGCTCTCCCCACACACCCATCTTTCTACAACATTCCCACCCACCTCCTGAAAGCACCCTTTCTGATGTAATACACTCATTTGGGAGAAAGATGTGTAACAGTGAGATGTATGAATAAGCATTGTCTTTGCTGCCTTCCCTGACCCCTTCTCATCCCACTTCCCAGAGGGAGTTCATGAGTAACCGTTGGAGTATTTGCTCCTGGCCTTTTCTGTGTACGAGCTGCTGACTGGATTGTTTTCTTTTTCTCACCTCGCATTGTATCTCAGACTGTCTCCCATGCTAGCTCATGGACACTTACCCTGTTCTTTCTACTGTTGCTGAAACGTAATACTTCTTACGGACAAAATTTTAGTGATAACATGAAAAGTAGAAGCCCAGGCATATACATTGATTCCTGGTTGATGTCTTCTCTGTACTTCCTGAAATCTTTATGCTTATATCCTCTTTGTTTTATTTTGGGGCTATTTGGGTTAATCTAGACACTAGTTAGGCTTTTCCCACTTAGCCAAAAATCTTGTGCCACTTTCCATATCAAGTCATCAGTTCTGTTTTCATTTTATTGCATTGACATGTTAGAATCTATTTCATCATTCAGATTGATAGTTCTTTAGTTTGCTTAAAACTCTAGAACAAATGAATCAGAATTACTTGGGTGGGTAGGTGCAGGCATCAGCATTGTTAAATGTTCCCAAGGAACATTTAACCAATTGGGGTAAAAGTCACCAATTAGGGTTTGTGCATCAGGGGTTGGTTCACCACTCCCTGCCCCCCTTACAAAAGCGGGCCACTTTGAGGATGAGGTTGTAACGTGCACGGAGACTAATCTCTCTCTACTGTATGGATGGTGTTGTGGTGAGTGCAGCACTTTGAAGAAAGGAGAAGATGATACAAATACCTGGAAGGTGCTGTTAGTAAAATTCATTTGAGTAAATTTGAATGTCTAATTTGTTTTATTTTATGAATCAGGTAGCAGCTCATCTAGCAAACAGAGGGGTTATGCAAGATGGTAGGTTTTCATAGAAACAAGGACGAATCAGAAAAGTCAGCAAAAGAAAGATGAAAACTTACTGGAATAAAGTAAGAGCTTGGGTGATGGTAGCTTCTCACTGGTTGAGCTGGGTTTTAATTGGCTAGATTTGTTACTGTGCAAGAGGAATACCGTTCTCCTGACGGGTGGTAAAGTGGATGCACTTTGTGTTGGGGCTTGCAAGGCAGCTCTTTCTGTTGGGGTTTGTAATTTTCCTATTTGGGGTAATTGGCTTAGAGTGGTGGGGCACGAGAGCTCCCTCTACAGGCCTTCCCACCTCCAAGTTTAGTTCAATTTAATTGGATCCCATTTAGTTGATCCAATTTTTTGTTTATTAATTTTCACAATGCAAAGGTTTACACTAAGAAATTCATCCTTATTTTGAATTCCTTCTCCAGGAAATTTGAAGGGGGGAACTGTTCACTAAAGTCAACATCTCCAAATGAGAAATCAAAGAATTTCATATGTGTTGCTAAGTAGTAGTTGTTACATATTTCAAATATTCCTATTGGTGATTTAACTAAAAAGAATGCGGACTCTTGGTGAAGTAGCAAATACGGTATAAATGGAAAAAATCAAGGGCCAGAAGAATGTGAATAGTACAGTCATTTGTGTAAAAACGAGGAGAAACCACTTTTGTTTCCGATGCACAGAACTGATCTGGAAGGATGCCTGAGAAACTGATACTGGTGGGCATTTGTGACGAGAGAGACTGTCAGGCTCTGGGAGAGGGGATCAGGGAGAATCTACACTCTGTATTCTTCGGAATTTTGAACTATGACTATATTACCCATTCGAAAATGAGAACAAGTATGTCAGTTACCTCAAAGAAACTTGTCGTCAGTGAGTTCTATGTTTTCTTCAATCATTAATATATATAGGTAACCCATTTTCACAGCCACTGGCCATGTTGTGTGCCATTGTGGGGGCATGGAGTTGGGCACGCACTTCCCCGGGTGGCCATGTGGACACCACAGAAGTGAAAGTCATACTTGTGGCTCTTTTTCAGCCTCTGGATGAGACCAGCCAAATGAGCGACCTGCCTGTGAAAGTGATCCATGTGGAGAGCGGGAAGATCCTCACAGGCACGGACGCCCCCAAAGCGGGGCAGCTGGAGGCTTGGCTTGAGATGAACCCCGGGTGAGTCAGGCGTTGAGTTCCAGAGGCAGCCACAATCCTGAGTCAGCCTTGTTCCGTGGGAGCGGGCTGGCAGCTGGCGGTGATTTTGCTTTCATTTGGAAATAGCCCGTTTGCTGGGGTGAGTGAGTCATGCTGATCTGGGGGAGTTTATATTAAAACACTAATGTTTTTTCTAGGTATGAAGTAGCTCCAAGGTCTGATAGTGAAGAAAGTGGCTCAGAAGAAGAGGAGGAGGTAAGAGTCCATTTCCTTCAGTCAAGGCCCTTGGAGCTCTGTAGCAGTGACCTCTGTCCCTTGTGCCTCAGTCACCTCTGTGTGCTGTGACCTCTCCCACTCTGCCTGGGTGTCATGTGGGACGAGATGGGCAGAGGGCGGCCGAGCCCCCAGTCCTGCTGGGAAGTTGGTGCTTTGGAGACTCGCTATCCAATACAGTAGCCTCTCACTGCACATGACTTAATTTTTAACTAATCAAATTCAGTAGAATTTAAAACTTGGGAAGGATAACTCAGAGGGAGCTAGGGGTGGAGTTTCTGAAGGCAGTGTTCATTTTACACGGGGAGGGTCCCGCAGGGTGTTCTTCACTCCCCCTTCAGTCCAGCGAGTGTCTTTTTTTTTATTTTTGATCTTTTTTTTTTTTATCTTTAGAAGGGAAGGGAAGGAGAGTAGGAGAGAAATATCAATGTATGGTTGCTTCTGGTGCGTCTCCTGCTGGGAACTGGCCCCTTCTGGGAACTGGTCTGCAACCCAGGCATATGCCCTGATGGGGAATCGAACCGCTAACGTCTGGTTCGCAGGCCCGCACTCAATCCACTGAGCTACGCCAGCCAGGGCTAAACTGAATTTTTAAGTGTTTTTTTATATTTATCCTAGTCTGAAATCAGCTTACTGTTCACCTAAATATATCTTTTCCTTCATTCTGTTTTTACTCCCTGCACTCTCCTCCTTGCCACTTAGGTCCTCTGGAATGTATTTGGTGTAGGGTATGGGGTGGAGCCCTGACTGCCCCCCACCCTGACAGCAGTAGTACTGAGTAAATTGGCATACCGTAAAAGGGTGATATTTTAAAAAAAATGGTATCTTTAGTTTTTATATCCATTGGAGTCCTTTTAGGACTACCTGTTCAGTTTCTTTTAACATTCTAATGGTTCTTCAACCAGTCTAATATTTTGTTGTAATTTTTTAACAGCTTTATGGAGGTGTAATTTACATACCTTAAAAATGCACTCATAGTGGGTGTATAATTCAGTGATTTTTATTTACCGAGCCGTGCAATTATTGCTGCATACCAACTTTAGGATTTTCTGTCCCTAAAAATTGCTCCTTCCTGTTTGTTTTTAGCTTGTTCCTGCTCCCTCCTCCAGACCCAGGAGAGCACTGATGTACTTTCTGTCTCTATAGATTTGCCTTTTTGAATATTTCATATAATTGGAGTCATATAACATGTAGTATTTTGTGTCTGGCTATTTTCACATAGCAGGTTGATCCATGTTCGTGTGTCAAGAGGCCTTTATTTTTTTAGTCCCAAGTTACATTTCTTTGTACTTGTGTGCCGTATTTGTGTGCCCTTTCACCAGTGAGGTGTTTGTGTTTCCATTCCTTGCTATTATGAGTAATGTTGCTGTGAACATTTCTGCACACGTGTATGTGTGGACATGTGTTTTCATTTCTCTTGGATGATACCTAGGAGTGGCATTGCTGGCTCTCATGGTAAGTTTATGTTCATCTTTTTAAGAAACTGCCAAACTTTTCTAAAGTGGTTGTACCCTTTAATAGCATCCAATTTCTTCCTGTCCTTATAAACATTTGGTGTATCTGTCTTTTTTATTATACTCATCTTAGTGGGTGTGTAGTAGTATCTCATTATGGTTTTAATTTGTATTTTCCTAGTAACTAATGATGTAACATTTTTTCCTAGGCTTATATACCATTCATATGTCTTCTTTGGTCAAAGTCTTCAGATCTTTCAAACATTTTGGGTTGTTTGTCATCTCATTGAGTTGCAAGAATTCTTTGTATATTCTTGATACATGTTCCTGATCAGGTATATAACTTCCAGATATCTTCTAGTTGGCTTGCCTTTTTTTCTTAGTGGTGTCTTTTGAAATGGAGAAAATGTAAATTTTGGTGAAATCCAGTTTATCAATTTTTTATGAATTATGCTTTTGGTATTATATCTAAGATCTCTTTAAAGTCACAAAGATTTTTCTCTGCTCTTCTAAAAATTTCATAGTTAAGCTCTTACGTTTAGAGTCATAGTTGAGTTGAATTTTATGAGGTGGAGGTTTAAGTTTATTTTTCTGCATATGGACATTCACTTACACAACATCATGTAATGAAAAGACTATTCACCCTGGCTGGTGTAGCTCAGTGGATTGAGCGCAGGCCTATGAACCAGAGGATTGTGGTTCAATTCCCAGTCAGGGCACATGCCTGGGTTGCAGGCCAGTTCCCAGCAGGGGACACATGAGAGGCAACCATACATTGATATGTCTTTCCCTCTCTCCTTCCCTTCCCCTTTAAAGATAAATAAATAAAATCTTAAAAAAAAACAACATAGAGTTAAAAAAAAAAGATTATTCTTTCCCCATGAAATTGTCTTGGCACTTTTATGGGAAATCAGTTAACTGTGAATGTAAGGGTTTGTTTCTTACTCTCAGTTTTATTCTGTTGATCTCTGTGTGTGTTTTTGTTCTACTGCCAGTCTATCTTGATTATTGTAACTTATAGTAAGTTTTTGAAACTAGGCTATTATTTCTCTAACTTTACTGCTTTTGTTTATTCTAGATTCTTACATTCCAATATCAATTGTAGGGGCAACTCATCAGTTACTATAAAAATGATTGCTGGGATTTTTATTGGGTGTGAGTTGAATCTCTTGATCAGTTTGGGAAGAACCACATTTTAACAATATTTTGTCTTCCAAGTCTATGAATATAGAATGTCTCTTCATTTATTTTGATCATCCTTAATTTCACTTAGCAGTATTCTGTAGTTTTCAGAATATAGTTTTTATACTTTTTTGTTAAATTTATTCTTTCTTTTAAAAGATTTTAATTACTTATTTTAGAGAGGTGGGAAGGAAGGGAGAGAAACATCTATGAGCGAGAGCTACATCGATGGGCTACCTCTTACATACCCGCAACTGTGGACCTGGCCCACAACCCAGGCATGTGCCCTGACTGGGAATTGAACTGGCAACCTTCCAGTTTAAATGCCAGCACTCAATCCACTGAGCCACACAAGCCAGGGCTATTCTTAAGTATTTTATACCTTTCGTTGCTATTATGAATAGAATTTTCTTAGTAGTATTTTTAGATATTTTGTTGCCATTATAAAAAATTAAATTTTCTATATTGATATTTTAAAATATTGATATTTTAGCCTATGAACTTGCTATACTCATATTGTTAGTTCTAATAGTTTTGTTTTGTTGTTTTTGTGGATTCTTTAGAATTTCCACGTACAGGATCATGCCATCTGTAAATAATTGCAGTTTCAGTACTACCCTTCCTGACTGTGTGCCTTCAATTTCTTTTTTTCTTGCTTTATTGCACTGGCTAGATTCCAGTACAGTACTGAACAGAAGTGTCGAAAGCAGACATCCTTGCCTTTTTTCCAGTCTTACCGGTAATGCATTTAGTCTGTCAGTGCTCTTTGGTGTTAGCTGCAGGTTTTTTCTAGATGCTCTTTATCAACTTGAGTGAATTTTCTTATCCTAGTTTATTGAAATTTTTATCACAAATGGGCTAGATTTTGTCTTATCCTCTATCTGTCATTAAATTTAATTTTCTGGTTTTTGTCTGTTATCTACTACTATGCTTTATTATATAAATTAATTTTTGAATATTAACCCAATCTTGCATTCCCAGAATGAGTTCTACTTTGTCCTGGTGTACAGTCTTTTCTGTATATTACTGTATTGCTAATATTTTGTTGAAGTGTTTGGGGTCTGTATTCATTAGCGATCTTGGTCTGTAGTTTTTTTGTGATGTATTTGTGTTTTTGATATTAGGTTAACATTGGCCTTATAGAGTGGGTTGGAAAGTGTTCATTCCTTCTCTGCTTTCTTGAAGAGTTTGTGAATAATTTGTATTAATTCTAAAATATTTAATAGAATTCTCCAGTTAAGCCATGTGGGACTTGCCTTTTCATTATGAATAAATTCTTGGTTACTGATTCAGTTAGCTGGTACAAGTTTCATTCAGATTTGTCTACTTCTTGAGTCAGTTTTAATAATTTATGTCTTACTAGCAGTTTGTCCATTTCATCTTCATTGTTTATTGGCGTAAAGTTATTTATAGTAGTTCCTTATTAACATTTCTGTGGAGTTGGTAGTGATAGCTCTTTCATTCCTCATTTTGGTAATTTAGTAATTTGCCTTTTATTTTGTTTGCTAGTCTATCTAAGCTTACATTATTGACTTGAGACTTCTTTCTTTTCTCTTTTTTAAAAAATATTTTATTTATTTTTAGAGACAGGGAAGGGAGGGAGAAAGAGAGGGGGAAAAACATCAGTGTGTAGCTGCCTCTCACACTCCCCCTACTGGGGACCTGGCCTGCAACCCAGGCGTGTGCCCCTAGGAGGAATGAAACCAGCAACCCTGTGGTTTGCAGGCTGACACTCCATCTACTGAAGGCACACCAGCCAGGGCAGGGGCTTTTTTTCTGGTGTAGGTGTTTAAAAGTATAAATTTTCTTCCGAGCACTGATTAAGTTACAGTTCATACATTTTAATATGTTGCTTTTATTTTCATTCAGTTCAAAATATTTTCTAATCTCTTTTGTGATTTTTTTTGACCCTCCGGGGTCGTTTAGAAGTATGTTACTAAATTTTAAGAATTTGAGAATTTCCCTGATTTTAAAACAATTCTTAAATCTCAGGAAGCATTGAGTGTCTATTACATCCTGTGGAGAACTTCTAATCTTAGGTCATAGTGTTAAGAGCTCCTAGTTTTGATCCCATAAGCTCTCTCTGAAATGCCTGTTTTTGATTTGAGAAGACACTTTCTATGATTTTAATTATTTTAAATTTACTGAGGCTAATTTTATAGTTTAGCATTCTGGGGACTTGAAAAGGACTCTGTAGTCTTTGGGTGGAGCGCCAGTATGGTGGCTACACTGAGTTGGTGGGTGGTGCTGTTGGATCCTCTGTGTCTTTGCTGATTTTTCTCTGATTGGCCTATGGGTTGTTGAGAATGAAGTGGTCAAATCTCTAGCTGTTTTTGTTGAATTGTCTATTTGTCCTTTAAATTCTGTTTGTTTTTGCTTCATATATTTTGATGCTCTGTTGATTGGTACATGGGGGGACCCCCCAAAATGGAATTTACTTATTAAAAAATTGTGTGCTTATTACTTTACGTTTAAACTTTAGTCACCATCAAAGTACTCTTCATTTGATGCAATACACCTATTGAGACATTTTTTCCACTGCTCAAAACAGTTTTTGAAACCATAGATTTTGATACCATCTAGTGCTTCTGCTGTCGTTGTTTTACCTCTTCCACTTTGGCAAAACGTTTCCCTTTGAAAACTTTTTTCAACTGGGGAAACAAAAAAAGTTGCTCGGGATGAGATCGGGCGAATTGGGAGGGTAGGACAAGGGAGTCACGCCTTTTTTGTTCAAAAACTGCTGGACACTCAATGTGGTATGGGCAAGTGCACTTGTAAATCACCCATCATGAAAGGGGCAAACACATTAAAAGAGTCTTCACAAACATTCACTGAAGCCGAATGCAGCCTCTCACAACAACGACAGCTGGCACACTGATACAGATAGGTTCCTAGAATACTCACCTGGCGTGGTGAGGGGTGGGAGCCTATAATACAAGAGGTCTGCCTTCCAAAGGATAATTTCAGGGTTTTTGGGTGGTCCCTCCCTTATATTTAATTGTTATTAACATACTTAACATTCTGTCATAAAATATATCTTTGTCTCTAGTAATATTTTTGATGTTAAAGTTTGTTTTGTTGCATATTAGTATGGTCAGTCTATCTTTCTTGTAGTTACTGTTTGCATAGTGTAAATGTTTTTGTTATGTTACTTTAAAGCTATCTGTTCATTTGAATCTGAAATAGAAGGTAGCTAGGTTTTGCTTTTTTATCTGGGATGCCAATGTCTTCCTTTTGAGTTGTATACTATTCACATTTCATTTATAGATGTGATTTTGTTTACATTTGCCATTTTGCTATTTCTTTGTCTTCTGTCTTTTTTTCTCTATTTCTCCTTTATTGCCTTCTTCTGGGTTAACTATGTTTTAGTGTAGCATTTTATTTCTTATGTGGTTTTTTATTGTCATTAAACTTTTTTAGCTTTTTTTTTTATCCTGCCTGGGGGATATGCTTATTGATTTTAGAGAGAAAAGAAGAGGGGGGAGAAAGACAGAGAAGCATTGATTGGTTGCTTCCTGTGTGTGCCCAGACTGGGGATTGAACCTACAATCTAGGTATGTGCCCTGACCTGGAATTGAACCCGCAACCTTTTGATGAACAGGATGATGCTCCAACCAACTGATCCACTGGTCAGGGCTGGGAAGGTATTTTTTTAGCTTTCATTTTGGAAGGATAATTTAGCAGGATATAGAATTATTTGTTGACAGCCTTTTTCCTTTTGAATGTCTTTCTCTTACTTTCTGGCTTCTTGTTTTAGATGCAAATTTAGCCTTAATTGTATTGATGCTACTCTACTTGACAATTTGTTTTTCTCTTTTTTACTTTTAAGATTTTCTGTTTGTCTTTATCTCTAGCAGTTTGTGAAACCTGTCTTTGTTATGTACATTCTTAGGTGTTTGTTCAGCTTGTTGTCTGGGTAGTTTCATGTTTTCCATCAAATTGAGGGAGTTTTTCTTTACTGTCTTCTATTGTGATTCTGTATGTTTTTTGTTTTTTTCGTTTGAGAAAGAAAGAGAGCGAGAAACATCATTCGTTGTTCCACTTATTTATGTATTCATTGGTTGCTTCTTGTATGTGCCCTGACTGGAGTTCAAGTCCACAACCTTGGCATATCAAGGCAATGCTCCAACCACCTGAACTGTTTTCTTGATTCATTGTGCTTAAAGATGGTTTCCTTTAGTTCTTTGGACATATTTATAGTAGCTTTGAAATACTTATATTAGTTTCTTCCAAGATATAATTCTAAGTCCAACATCTAGGAATAGAGACAGGTTTCAGTTGCTTTTTCCCTGAGTACGTACCACACTTGACTCCTTTTTCTGGTACTATAATGTTCAGTGGAAGCCTATTTTAACCACTTCAGATCCTGACTTTTCCTCTGGAAATGATTGTTTTGATAGTGGTGTTTGTTTGCTGGTTCAGTAACTGACATGGACTGAGTCTGTGGAATTGTTTGCCCACAGTGTGTGCTGCCTTTGGTGTCTCTGCTCAGTTTATTGTTTTGGTTGGATTCTCATTTTTATTTTTAGTCCTGTTTCTCAAGGCATGGGGTGCATTTCTTCATAACTTAGTAGTCACCCAACAGTGGGGCGGAGGTTGTGCTCAGACTCCTAGAGCAAGTAAGGCTTTTATTTTCTGCTCAGCCTTTTCTCATTTCCTCAGCACCTGGGCACAACTTCAGCCACTAATATGCTTTCCCGACCACAGCTGAAAGCCGCACCCCCACCAGCAGTACCACTGGTGTGGGCGTCACCCAGTGCTATAAAGTGACTGAGTCCCCATCAGCCTCGGCGGCCAGGCCTCACGTTTGCCCTCCCTGGCAGAACCTTCGTGGTGGAGCTGAGGGGCAGGGGTGTTGGAAGCAGTCCCACATGAGAACACCACCAGTTCCCACACTTCTTACCCAGAGCTCAGTGGTTTTTTAAGCATTAATACTTCTCAGTCTCATAGAGGTCTGAAATCGTTGCTTTCTCCAGTTTTGTTCAGCTTGAAGTTGCTTGTTGGAGAATTTGTCACAGACTCACTCAGACTTAACCAAAAGTCTCACCCACATTTTAATTTCAGACATGAATACACCAGTTAGGGTAAGTCTGTACCAGCTATGGGGGGCGGTTTTTTGCCCAAAACATTTGTGCTATTATCACCTATTTATTATAAAATTATTTTGCATGCACCAAGAGAAATCCCACTGGATTTTTACTGGAATTGTTTTGCAAATTAATTAAATATAAATTTTTTGTTTTATGGCCATTCCATTTTAGAAAAAAGATAATTATTGGGACTCTATATGAGTTACAGAGTAATACAAAGATGGTTTGCTATTGGGGAATGCATTCATGTGTATTAATATGTCACACAGAATCCCTTCATCATCTCAGTAAATGCTGAAAAATCACTTTCATGAAACAACATTTATACTTAATTTATAGATTTATAGAACACCTCTGCCTGTCATCACCAGTATTATTTGAACGTATTTTAGGCATTTTCAGCCATATCAGTAAAGCTAGAAGTAAATCAAAAGGAACAAACATTGAATACTGATTCCTGATTGATGTAGCTTGGTTGGGCTTCATCCCACAATGTGTAAGGTCACTGGCTCAATTCCCAGTCAGGGTACATGCCTGGCTTGTGAGTTTGGTCCCCTGTCACAGCAGGTATGAGTGGCAGCTGATCGATGTCTCTCACAATGATGTTTCTTTCCCTCTCTTTTTCCCTTCCTTCCCCTCTCTCTGAAAATAAGTCTTTTTAAAGGTGTTTTGTATTGAGGAAAATCCTATATGTTCCAGTAGAAAACTGATTGAATAGTTGGACAAGGAGTAAATGTGTAGAGCTGTTGTGCGATGGGGGTGGGGGGGGCATGAAGAATCTGTTAGTAGTAACTAAAGTACCGAGTACCCTGAGTTAGCCTTGAAAAGAAGTAAAGAAGTGTCTGGACTCCACTGGGACAACTAAAAATAAAACTGATCAATCGAAAGAAGAGGTACGATACATTCCAAATGTGTGTTTTCCCCCTTGAATCCTGTGTCTGTCCCTGTGGGATATTTTGAGATGACACGTCCTTGTCTCTTGGTAGGAAGAGGAGGAGGAACAGCCACAGCCAGCGCAGCCTCCCACTCTGCCTGTAGAGGAGAAAAAGAAGATTCCAGATCCAGACAGCGATGACGTCTCTGAGGTGGACGCCCGGCACATCATTGAGTAAGGTTTCCTTACACACACTCCTACTCCACCAGCTTCCTTCACTGGGGGCGGGGCTCTCAGATTCCCAGCCTCCCCCTGGGCAGCACTCATACTGGCCAGCTGGCAGCCACTGTGAGACCGCAAATGGGAGCCCAGACTTGCCTCCTGTCCCACTCTTTCCTGGACTAGTATTTGCTGCCTTGTCTGTCTTTAGAGTGTTCACCTTCAGTTTTGCTTGTCTAAGGCTCAGGCCACAGGTCCTCAGACAGAAAGGGCTGTCCCAGAGCCGTGTGTTAGAGTACATTGTCACAAATACAAATGCGTGTCCTCAGCTGCCGATTCTGTCTTCTTCCAGGAATGCCAAGCAAGATGTTGATGATGAGTATGGTGTGTCCCAGGCCCTCGCTCGTGGCCTGCAGTCCTATTATGCTGTGGCCCATGCTGTCACCGAGAGGGTGGATAAGCAGTCAGCGCTTATGGTCAATGGTGTCCTCAAACAGTACCAGGTAAGGCTGGAGGGGGCCATGCCTGCATAGCAGTCTCGGCAGGTTGGCTCCCAGCTTGTGGGAGGCTGCTGAAGTCGGGCAGGCCCAAGTTCACATTCTACTCCTTGTCTCTGGTATCTCACTCTTTGTCTCTTCAGTCTCAGTTTCCCCCTCCGTAAAGTAGAAACATGATATGTTAAGTCAGCCAGGAGGAGGAAAGGAAATGATGCAATGTATCAGTATCTGCTGGGTGCTTGATCTGTACAAGGCAGGGTGGCGGTGTGTTCTGCACTGTTAGCTTCTGAATCCCCAACAATTTTAAAGTCAGCACTCTTATTAGCCTCCGCATTTTACAGGTTTATTTCCAATCAAACAACACATTTCCCTGATTTTCCATTTGGTTGTGGCCCCTATACCCAACTTTCTGTGAAAGAACTCTCAGAACCTCCATGCCGATATCAAGGTCCAAAGAGGCGAAGCCTGTGGCCAGTGGACATTTCCAGTGGCCAGTGTAATCAAAGGAATCAGAGCTTGACCAGAAGTTACTTCCTGAATCTGTTAGGAAAATATCCAAATTTTTCTTTATAATTAATATGCTTTACATTCCATTTGAAAAACAGTCTTTTATTTAATTGCCTGTATTGTGGACACCTTGCAAGCTTCGGAAAGCTCTCAGTTGATCTGGATACAGTGGTTAGGCAGTCATTGGCTGTGGAGCGGATTCCTCAGCAGTTTCCCCTGAAGCCTTAATCTCCTGAGTCGAGTGTCACATGGTTGTGTGCAGGTTTGTCCCAGTGTGCTACATGGCTTGGTGTCAGGCAGTGACAGACAGACCTTGTCACAGAAACTGAAATACACATGTTCATCTGAAAAGGCAACTTAATATTCTGTACATATGTTATTAACACAGCAACCCTGTGATTTCACAGGGACGGTTGCTGAGGATGAGGCTAAGGGAGAAAGGAGTGGGGTTGTTGGGAGCAAAACACTGGTGGCTCAGGGCAGTTGGTGGTTAGGGCCGCTCTTGCTCCTGGTTGTGCCTGAGGCCCAGAGGTGCGGGGAAGGCTCTCCACCCCGACCCGGGCTTCAGTGCAGGCCACCCCTCTGCTGGCAGATCAAGGGCTTGGAGTGGCTGGTGTCCCTGTACAACAACAACCTGAATGGCATCCTGGCTGACGAGATGGGCCTGGGAAAGACCATCCAGACCATCGCGCTCATCACGTACCTCATGGAGCACAAGCGCATCAACGGGCCCTTCCTCATCATCGTACCTCTCTCGTAAGTGCACCCATCCCTGGAGGCCTGGCAGCAGCTGATACAGGTACCCCGCTGCCCGGCTTCAGTGCCACCCTAGGCTTCATTCAGACACCTGTGTGCTAATTTACTCAGGCTTTCCTAACAAGGTACCACAGCCTGTGGCTTAAACAGGCATTGTTTTCCCGGAGCTTGTAAGCGTGTGAGCAAGGCATCAGCAGGGCCGGTTTCTTTTGAGGCCTCTCTCCTAGCCTTGCAGACGACCATTGCCTCTCTGTGTCTTCACACCACCTTCCCTCTTTGTTGCTTGTATCCTAATTTCCTCTTTGTGTGAGGATACCAGTCATTGGATTAGGGCCCGTCCTAATGACCTTATTTTAATAACTTCATTACTTCTTCCAGACAAAAAGAGAAACCCTTTCTCTTTTTTGATATGTTTTATTGATTATGCTAGTACAGTTGTCCCATTTCCACCCTTTATTCCCCTCCCCCCCCGCACACCTCACCTCCCACATTCCCCCCTTTAGTTCATGTCCATGTGTCATAAGTTCTTTAGCTTCTACATTTCCTGTACTATTCTTGCCCTCCCCCCTATTTATTTTCTGCCTACCGTCTATGCTACTTAACTCTCTGTACCTTCTCCCCCTCTCTCCTCCTCCCACTCCCCTGTTGCTATGAACCCTCCACGTGATCTCCATTTCTGTGGCTCTGTTCCTGTTTTAGGTGTCTGCTTAGTTTGCTTTTGTTTTAGATGTGGTTATTAGTAACTGTGAGTTTGCTGTCCTTTCACTGTTTATGTTTTTTATCTTCTTTTTCTTAGATAAGTCCCTTTAACATTTCATATAATAAGGGCTTGGTGATGATGAACTCCTTGAACTTGACCTTATCTGAGAAGCACTTTATCTGCCCTTCCATTCTAAATGAAAGCTCTGCTGGGTAGAGCAATCTTGGATGTAGGTCTTTGGATTTCATGACTTGGAATACTTCTTTCCAGCCCCTTCTTGCCTGTAAGGTCTCTTTTGAGAAATCTGCTGACAGTCTAATGGGAACTCCTTTGTAGGTGACTGTCCCCTTATCTCTTGCTGCTTCTATAATTCTCTCCACTTTTTTTTCTCCATTTTAATCTTGGCTAATGTAATTATGATGTGTTTTGGGGTGTTCCTATTTGGGTCCATCTTTGGGACTCTGAGCTTCCTGGACTTCCTGGAAGTCTGCTTCATTTGCCAAATTGGGGAAGTTCTTTATTATTTGTTCAGATAAGTTTTCCACTCGTTGCTCTTCCTCTTCCCCTTCTGGTACTCCTATAATTCAGATGTTGGAACATTTAAAGATGTCCTGGAGGTTCCTAAGCCTCTCCTCATTTTTATGAATTCTTGTTTCTTCAGTCTTTTGTGTTGGGTTCTTTCTTTCTTCCTTTTGGTCTATACCATTGATTTGAGTCCCAGATTTGTTTCCATCACTGTTCATTCCCTCTGCATTCTGCTTCATTTCACTTACTGTAGCCTTCATTTTTTTCATCTAATCTGTGACTAAAATCAACCAGTTCTGTGAGCATGCTGATCACCAGTGCTTTGAACTGTGCATCTGATAGGTTGGCTATCTTTGCGTCCCTTAAAAGTATTGGCTATGGAGCTTTGATTTGTTCATCTCATTGAGCCTTTTTTGGTCAAGTCAGGCCTGTTATGTATGAAGGGCGGAGCCTTAGGTGTTCACTAGGGCGGGGCAACCCCCCTCACTGGGTTGTGACACTTTATATCACAGTGGGCGTGGGGTCAGAGGGAGCAATGGTGCTTGTTCTGAGTTCTCTTCTGGTATTGGTTCCCTGGTGGGTGGGCTTGTTGTGTACGTTCTAGGACCCTGTATGTCTCTCCAGTGAACTCTCCTGTGAGGCTGGGAGTCTCTCCTGGCACCTCAACCCCCACAAGTTTTTCTTTTCTTTTTTTTTTTTAAGATTTTATTTACTTATTTATCTTTAGAGGGGAAGGAAAGAGGGAGAGAAACATCAGTGTATGGTTGCCTTTTGTGCACCCTCTGCTGGGAACTGGCCTGCAGGGAACTGGTCTGCAACCCAGGCACATGCCCTGACTGGGAACCAAACCGAGATCCTCTGGTTCGCAGGCCTGTGCTCAATCCACACTGCAAATTTTTTTAATCGGTGCTTTTAGGCTTTATTTTCCGATGCTGTGGCCCTGGATTGCACGGTTTGTCTCACTGCCTGTTTTTTGTCTGGATTATCTATACACGAATGTGTGTCCACAGTCAGCCAACCACCTTGTGCACCTTACTGGGTTTGCTGGTTTCCTCCCTGTGCCCAGGTGGCCAACCACCACCTTTTCCTGCCAGGTCCCCTGTCCGGCGGCCGCCATCTCTGCCCCTCTTAACCGATCTGGATGGATGGTTTGTTGTTGTCAGAGTTCGGTACAGTTCAATTTTCTGTCCTGGTTGTGTTTTTTTTCCTAAATCTTTGTTGTCCTTAAATTTGGTTGTGTGAGGAGGTACAGTGTTTCCACCTGCGCCTCCGTCTTGGCCGGAAGTCCTCCAGAAACCCCTTCTTCAAATATAGCCACACTCTGAGGTTTTAGCACTGAGGACTTTAACACATGGCTATTAGCGAGATATAACCCAGCCCATAACAGCCTGCCTATGCTTTCCAGGGGCAGGCCAGGGAAGGGGCGGCGACTGTGTTCATCCTTTGTCTCTACTGGGAAAGCTCTTACAGGATGTCCTTAAGGTTCTGTTCAGGCCCACAACCAGCAAATTGCACAGGAAGGGACTGAAGATCCTCCTGTGAGAAGTCTGGAGTGCAGTCGTTGAGCAGACACTGTGTCCATCCTCTGTCATTGGCACTGGAGCCCTACCAGTCCCATCTCCACCCTGGTGACACCAATGCTCAGGGGGTACTAGGGGGTCTGGGTATCCAGACGGCGTCCTGAGGAAGCTCTCACTGGCCTCTTCCTTCTGGGTCCATGATTCCACCCGCCATTCTGGGCAGCCCTCTTCTCAACTCAGCCCATGTCACAAAGTGTCACCTGCCCCAGGGTGTCTCCGGAAGCCCTAGGGCTCCCTCTCACTGACCCAGTTTGGGTCACATGTCAGGCACCAATCCAGTTATGGGCCAGGGTGGATGATCTGCCTTGTTGCCGGGCTTATATATGCTCTTAGCCTGGCCCTGGAGGGGAACCCTTTGTCTTCAGCCCAGTGCTCAGTGGGGCCCACGTCATCATCAGGTCAGTGGATGAAGGGAAGAATGGGAAGCCGAGTGCTTCTGCCTGCCTGCCTTCAAGACAGCCAGGCCTCCGGGGGCCACACACTCATGAGTGGGGATCCCAGAAGCCCTCAAGAATTTAACCTGGAGAAATTTACTTATTCTTTTTGCCTTCCCTGCCTCAAGGTGGTATAAAACAGGCCGCCATGGCAGGCTTCCTGGAGAGGACTGTTCCCAGTGTGGCAGGAGGTCCCAGGCTGGCAGATGATCTTGCCTTCTTCTCTAGCCCTCCGGGGGCTGCAGTCCCCTCTCCCCGTTTGTTCCCCTGACTTGTAAGTTAATCTTCATAGAGCTTTCCCCAACACGCTGCTCTGCAGCCTGCAGCCTGTTTTTTAACTTCTCATTTTAAAATTATGTCAGCCCTGGCCAGGTAGCTGAGTTCATTGGAGTGTCTTCAGTGCATCAAAGGGTTTGGGGATCTATTCCTGATTGGGGCACGTACCTACGCTGCAGGTCCAGTCCCTGGTTGGGGAGCATGTGGGAAGCAACCGATTGATGTGTGTGTGTGTGTCTCTCTCTCTCTCTCTCTCTCTCTATCTCTATCCTCCCTCCTCCCTTCCCACCCCTTCCTCTCTCTCTAAAAAGTCAATTAACATATTCTCAGGTGAGGAAAAACATAAAATTAATTCAGACTTACAGTAATTGCAAAAATAGTGTCAAGAATTCCTATACATCTTTCACCTGGCCTCCCAGGACAGTTAACAGCAGGAAGGCAACAGTGACGTAGTACTGTTATGAATCTAAAGATCTTATTCAAATCTCTGTCCCCAGTAATAATCTTTTCTTCTGGTCCTGAGTCCCACTTTGCCTTTTGTTGTCCCATCTCTGTGACGTGTCTGTGACAGTACCCCAGTCCACATTTGTCCTGTGTAATCTTGACACTTGAATTCTAGTCAGGCTGTCCCTCACTTTGTTTGTGTGTGTGAAGTGCCTATTTCTGAAATTCTGGCGAGAACCCCCCAAGAGGGGTGCTGTGCCCTTCTTGGGGCCTCATGTGAGGAGGCCTGCGGTAAGGGGAACTTTAGTCTTGGTTGTGTGCTGCTTTCTAAGGAAGAACTGTCCCTTCTCCCCCGTTTATTGATTCACGTAATTCGTTCTATCACTGTGGGTTCTATGATCACGGGAGCCCAGATTGGACACTGTCGTTATTTATTTTATTGTCCCAGGTTCGGTCTGGGGAGAGCATTCCAGCAGGTTTTAACATGTCTCTGTCATTGTGGTGTGGTTGTTGGCTTACTTTAGGATTCTTTTAGATTTATGAAAGCGATGTGAAGATACAGCCGCGAGCTCCCGGCTGCCCTCCCCCATCCGCCCTGGTGTCGATGACATCGCACACGGCCGTGTTCCCTTGGTCACAGCTCAGGAGCCCTCCCTGGCACACCACTAGTCACTGGGTGCCCGACTTCATTTCTGTTGCCCTGGTTTTTCCCTAGTGCCTGCTTTCTGTTCCAGGATTTTATATCAACCTTTAGTCGTCACGTGCCCCCAGCCTTCCCTCCTCCATGACTGTTCCTCAAATTATTCATATTGTTGATGACCTGGATGGTTTTAAGGAGGACTGCTCGGTGTTCGGTAGGGTATCCCTCCGTCTGGGTCTGCCTGGTGATTTTCCTCATTCTTACACGGGACAAAGGACTGTGGGTCAAGGGCAGTTACTGTCAGTACGACTTTTCTCAGTGTTGACGTCCCTGATCACCTGGCTGAGGGGGCGGATGCTTGTTTGCTGTCTGCTGTGAGGTTTCTCTTTTTTCTCCCTCCCACACTGTACTCTCGGGAGAAGTCACTGTGCTCGTCCCATATGCAAGGGGTGGGCAGTTCACCCCACCTCCTTGAGGGGGAAATAGATACATTTAAGTTATTTGGAGTTCTTCTGTACATATTTCTTCTCCCCTAGTTGTTAACTTATTTAAGCATTTCTTGTCAGTATGGACTCATGAATATTTAGTTTATATTTTGGGCTGTACTCCGATGCTAGTTTATTTAGTTCCTCTAAGTATTCCAGCTGTGGCCATTGCCAGCTCTTTCATTTGCTACTCTGTCCCTGTGGGCTATTTTGAGCATTTGCTTTTTGGTTGCTGTTTGGGACAACCAAAGACTCTCCAGGCTCAGTTTGTATGTTTTCCACCCAGGCCTAGAATCAGCCTGGTTTAACTTATTAAAGAATGGAATTGGAAGCCAAGACCTGGGTGCTAGGTGTGTTTCTTGCTTCTGGGGTGTCCTTCTAGCCCCTCTCTGCGGACATCACTAGGAAATGTGTGTACGTGGATTGAGCCTTACATGCAGACATATGCACGTCCCTGCTGTGTCCCGTCACCTGTGTGTATTAAACACATGCATACTATAGTCTCCGATTCTCAGGACTACGGGGTTCATTCTGGGGCTTTCTTTGTTTATTCGTTTGTTCCTAGTGTACATACACAGTACTTTCACGACAGTTAATAACCACGAGAGCCAGCTCTACCACGTAGAGTATTGGGTTTAGATCCAGTTATACCATGTGTGGATCTTCAGCCTTTTATAGTATGTTCCACCCAGACAAGGTGCAGGCTCAAATGTCATCTCTCTCGAGTCAGAAGAGCCGTCTGTGCCCTAGAGGTTGTTACCAGACCATGGGCATTCAGCTGTCCCATCCACCAGTTGGGATGTGCAGCTCTCCGCTGTGAGTTCGCTGGTCTTGCCTCCCTCTTGACTGACCTCTGTCTTGCGTCTGTCTCCTCATACCCCCTCCTGCTGCACATGCTCCCCACACCTCAGGCTTTAGTTTTCAGCTTCTCTCTCTTGGGCTGTCCCCCACTGCTCCCTGCAACAGAAGCCTGACCTCAGTGACTGGACCAGGGCAATCTTGCTGATCCCCAGTAAGGGGAAGTCCAGAGCCAGGCCATCAATCAGGGCAGGCCCTGTGGCTCTAACATGCCATCCCAGGCCCAGGCTCCTGCAGTTTTCTGTTCGGTCATCCTTAGCATGTGACTTCTGCTATCAGGCTTCTTACCTCATGGTTGCAAAATGATTGCCCTGTGTCCATCATTTCATCTCAGTTTTCCCAATATAATGAGCGTGGCAAAGGATAGCAGGAACATATGACATCTGAGTCTTCCCACTCCCCACCATCCTTCAGGAGCTTCCCCTGGCTTTCAACCCCAGGAACTTGAACTTTCATCTTACTGTCTCTGACTGTGCCCAGCTGGTTGGCCCACCAGGTTGGCTCCTGCCAGGGAGCCCTGGTTTAAGGCAGAGATAGCACCACCCTCATGGAGCTTCTTGGAGAGAGGAGCTGAACGAACCACAAGCAGTCCACCACTCGGCCTGTCTCTGCAGACCACCCAGTGTAGACTTTCCCAGTGCATTCCCTCCCTCAAGGGCCGAAAACTACTCGTCTCAGTGTTTCTCTGAGAACTTGCCGCCTTGTGAACTTGGCTTTATTGTTGCCGTTACCCTCTCCTGAAGCTCTGTCTTATAATCCCAAATGACTTACGCCTCCTTACCAACCTCCCGGCCCCCACATCCAGTCACTGCCAGCCTCTCTTTTCCCCCTTTCCTTGGCCTTGTGCATCCCGGGGAGGAGCAGCCTTGCACGCTGCTCCGACGCCTCCAGTCCTCCGCTCGAACCCAGCATGGTCACCTGCTCATCATCGTCTTCTGTGTCTTGCTGGGTAGGAACCCTCAATTTTTTGTGAGGTGGCATAAAGACACAGGTGGTTTCTCTCATACTTCAGGCATCCATAGCCTGACCTCTAGCATGGTTCTGAAATGAAGCACCGTGAGTCCGTGTTTTTCCTGGGAGCAGGTTTGCAGCACCTGGCTTATTTTCACAGAGGGCTGTGACCTCACATCAGTGACAGAGAACTGGTGTATAAGGTCCAACTCTGGGTCTAGCCCTCTTTGGCCTCCCGGCTCCAGCCCAGGCTGACCCAGGCTCCTCCCTGCCCCTGTATCCACCACCATGCTTTTGTGTGTCCCCGTTCCTCCCAGCCGGGGCACTGTCCTTTCCTTTCCCCACTTGGCCGCCATTGGAGGGAATTGATTACTCTGCCAGCTCTGAGTCACAGCCACGGTGGCCTCTCTCTGCAGTGTGCATGGGTATGAACAGTGAGCTGTTGTTGACCGAACTAGAACCTGACTGTTTCTTCCTTGTTTCCGTCAGGACACTGTCAAACTGGGCATATGAATTTGACAAGTGGGCCCCCTCTGTGGTGAAGGTGTCCTACAAGGTATGTCACCAGCTGAGCAGCTAGACATTGGTGAGGGCAGGGTAGGAGACTAGGAATGCAAATAAGTGAAGAGGGAAGTGAGCTCGCAATTTAAGTGAAGTTATAGACTAATTTGTGGGTGGCATTGATGCAGTCCCTCAAAGAGTTCGTTATTTTCACCTGAGCTTTGATTAAAACTTAGTCACATACCATGACTTATCTGATCAGTTCACCCTGTGAAGTAGGGATTAATGTGCTTGTTGTCCTGGTGGGGAAACTGAGGCAGACAGGGCCTTTCGTGACCACTTAGTGGCAGAGCCAGGTTATGCCTGGCCGCTGAGATCGTCACCCTGTGCTGTGAGGCTGTCGGCCCATCACGGGGAGAAGAGCAAGTTGGCATCAGGGACAGTGTGTGCAGGGAAAACTTAGTACATTTGAGGAGTGAAAAGCTTATGGGACCCAGTGAAGATGAGTGTGGATTGTGAGCCTGGAGAATGCTAGGGCCCTGGTCACATGGTTCAGGATTTGGACCTGGGAGAGGGACTGAGCAGATTTGCTCATTGCAAATAGGCTGGAGCTGCCTACAGGGAGTGATCTCAGTGGCCAGCACTCAGATGAGAGGTTTTTAGGGCAAGGCCCTGGTTTCCAGCTCGGAGGCTTGAGCTGGGACCCAGGAAGAGTTGGGGAGCTTATTGGCCACCGGGATTGATGCTGATGGTGGTGCAGGCAGCAAGCCTCCCAGAGGGCCTGGGCTACCACTGAGCCACAAGCCTTTCCTCGCTCCCTGCATTTGGCACTCAGCACGTTAGTGTTGAAGGACAGGAACCAGCAGCCTCACCCAGCTCTCCTGCCTTATCAGAGTGCTGTGGCCTGGCCCGCCCGTCCCCAGGAGGCTAACGTGCGTGTGTCATCTCTTTTTCACAGGGCTCTCCAGCAGCCAGGCGGGCTTTTGTTCCGCAGCTCCGGAGTGGCAAGTTCAATGTCTTGCTAACGACATATGAGTACATCATTAAAGACAAGCACATCCTTGCGAAGGTAGTGTGTCCTCATGTAAAAGACGAGGCCCAGGCTCTCATTACTGTCAGGGAGACTGTGGTCCTGCCTGTCTAGGGTTGTCATGTGTGTGTCACACTTCCCATCTTCTCAAAGCCCCTCCCAAATAACTTTTCAATGATTCCCCTGCACATGTGTATAAAGACAGCTGCTGTGTGTATGTGATAGGTCTTGGTCAAGGTGAACTTGGGTTTGCCTCTCTGTTCCCAGATTGGCCAGGAGTAGGTCTAAAGACAGGGTTGTCTACCCAGAACATGAGTTAGCTCCTCACAGGGATTTTGCCCAAAGACCTGGTCACACAAGATGCCTCCTGACCTGCCTGCCTGACTACCTTGTCCCTGGTAGGGCCATGGAAAAGCCAGCCTTGTCTTTACCTGTCTATAGAGGCTTTTGCCCTCCCTCCCTTCCGGCACAGCCATATGAAACAACCCATGATGCTCTCTGAGGCCCTGTGTGGCCCATCACCTTTGGGCTGCGGGGCTGGCTTGTGCAGTGGCAGCTCTACAGGTTTCTTAGCTGACAGGGTTGTGAAGGTAGCTCTAGTTAGGCTGTAGTGAATTACTGAGAACATCTGTTTGACTCAGGTATAAAACAGACACTGACCATTGCCTGCAAAAAGCTTGTTTCCTGGTTTGAAAAGGGGCAGAGGCTAAAGAATATGCATCTGGTCTCATCAGTAACCCATCCAGTAGAGTGAAGTAGAAGGTAGAGCAGGGGTGAGGGAAGTGTTTACCGGTTACCACGCCCCTGGGGCTTGGTCAGAATGATGCTACTGGGTAATTGATAAGGTGTCTTCAGGCCCACGGAACAGATGCCCAGTGTGCCTGTCACCCTCTGACTCAGTACAAAGCCATTTGTGTTTATCTGACAGTGGCTTTAATTAACAAATACTCTGCAATGGGGGTTCCTAGTGAGAGAAAGCTACTGTGCCCCTCCCCCATCCAGATCTGCCTCTGACATGCACTGCCTCACTGTGTCCCCAGGCAGCTAAAGCACAGGGCAGCCGCACACTGCTAGAATCAGCAGCTAGCCCATATCCATCACACGTGTAGCCACCAACAGACTCTGCGGTGCAGCTCCGATCCCCAGGCTCACGCTCTGTACCTGTCTGTGCCGCTCTTGCCTTTGGAGACACAGCCCGCTGATTGGAAAACACACTCGTTACCACACCACGTCCCCTCCCAGCGGGGCCACTCTGATTAGTGAGGGGTGCGTTTGGGGATTTTTCTGTGCTACGTATCACATGCATAATTTGAGGGGGAATCCACAGTACTTTTGTGTAACTTGCTGTTTTATCCAACAGCAGGTTATAGGCATATCTCCCTGCCTGTCATCACCCCCTGCTTTATAGAGGCGTGTTGTATGTCTGTCTCTCAGTGAGCTGCTCCCTTGTTGAGACATTGTCCTGCCCACATTCTCTACCTCAATGGGCTCTTCCACCTGGCGCCCTCCTGCCTCCTGGCTATGAGAGTACACTCTGTGGAGGGCAGCCCTGCAGCCTGTCTTCCTCTCAACGCTTGCAGATCCGGTGGAAGTACATGATCGTGGACGAAGGCCACCGCATGAAGAACCACCACTGCAAGCTGACGCAGGTCCTCAACACACACTACGTGGCCCCCCGCCGCCTGCTGCTGACAGGCACGCCACTGCAGAACAAGCTCCCTGAGCTCTGGGCTCTGCTCAACTTTCTTCTGCCCACCATCTTCAAGAGCTGTAGCACCTTTGAGCAGTGGTTCAACGCACCTTTTGCCATGACTGGAGAAAAGGTGTGTGTGTGGGTCCAGCCATGTGGGGGCAGGCGACCGTGGTTGTGGCCATCCTCAAGGAGCTGGGTGTGCATTGAGTGCCCACCACAGTGGGACGGGATTGTGCTGGGTGCCAGGCCTGGGTCCATGTCTTCATAGATTAAGGTAGCCTTGACCCTGAGGCTAGACTAGCCATGAGGGCCCCAGAGAAGAGCAGTGATCAGGAAGGTGAACTCTGGGGAGACACTCGGGGCTTCCCTCACTGTGCACAGAGGGCACAGTGAGGTGTGTGGCCTTTGAGGCAGCTGTGGGGCCAGAGCAAGGGTGTCCAGGTGCAGCTGGAGGGCCCGAGGGGCTTGTTCCTTTTAGGAGTTTAGGTTTCACCCTAAGGGTAGTAGGAAGCTCAGAAGTGTGCAGTCATAGGAGCAAAATGGCCAGATTCTGTGTATTGTTTTTAAAGAGCTCTGTGGCCAGTGTATCTCAAGGTCTGTATGGCTGCGGTGGCATTGTCAGTCTGAAAACGAGACCGTGGCATATGGCTCTCCGGGGTTAGGTCTTCATCATTTGATGAACTCCCCACCTGGCACCAGAGTGAACGCCCAGCTATTGGAGTTTGAGCTGTGTTTGTGGGCCAGTTGCATTTTCTGTCGAAGGCAGTTAAGCCACCAGAGCCTAGCAAATGAGGAAGTAGGTACAACTTCAGAGAGGAACGAGGAGTGTCATTGCCCACTAGTTCCTGAGGACGATGTTTTCCTTAGGTGCAGGGCAGCTGGGGCTCCCCATCATGTGTGTGGGGGCCTCTGCCAGCATCATCTGCAAGGTGCCCCCTCCTCGGTGCCAGCTTAGGCTGAAACCCTTGTGAAGGAGAAACTGAAGCCTTGCCAAGGGTCCCAGGACCCCCAGCCTGAGAGCCGAGGAGCAAAGGCTCTAGTTTCATTTATTTTTACGTTGAGCAAAAACTTTGCTGGGAAATTTTTTAGAAGATCCATGTGAGAAAAATTCAGGTCTCACCTTATTTTCATTTTGTAAAAATCTTTAAAGATTTAACACTTTATCCAAGTAGCAGTCACCCTGAGAGCAGATCTCCTTCCCCTCCATCCCGTCCCAGCTGAGGTGAAAGCGGGTGTGGGGCTCCCAGAGATGGATTGTCCCGTTTACACCAAGTGTCCATGAATGTGGCCCCCATGGTGCCACTTAGTTTTCATTTGGATGTGCTGGTGGGCTTCCAAGCACTCGAGTTGGCGTCCCTTTGGGGAGAACACGGTATGCTGCTGTGTTCCTCCTCATGAGGTCTACAGAACGCAGTGCCCTGGGGCCTTTGGTTCCACAGCCTGGCATTTCTAGGGAAGGACTCAGATACTCGCTGTTTTCCAAAGGAAGAGGGTGCCTTGCCAAGCCCCGTAAAACAAGAGGCAGTCTGAAAATGAGGGGCTAGCCCAAAGGGTGACTCCAGATGACTCTGCGTACCCCTCCCGATGCCCTGGCCCCTGCTTTGGAAGTAATGCTTGTTTTTCATGTCCCATGGCACGTCAGGTGGACCTGAACGAGGAGGAGACCATTCTCATCATTCGGCGTCTCCACAAAGTGCTACGGCCCTTCCTGCTCCGGCGGCTCAAGAAAGAGGTCGAGGCTCAGTTGCCTGAAAAGGTAACAGGAGGGTTTTATGTACCAGAAACCACAGTGCAGCATTGTGCGGGGCTTCCCCAGCACGGGCCTGCTCAGGTGGCTCTCCAGTCATCCCCAGCCTGTGGTCTCATGGTCCTGGCCTTGCCCTAGCATTCTAGAGGCGATCCATCTGAGGATGGCCACTTCCCCCTCTGGGTCACTAAAGTGGAAGGCAGGGGTATCAGGTTAGAGTACAGAATCCCACCTGATGTCAGCAGGCCGGATGCCTGGGCAGGTCCTGCCCGACCACATCATGAGAGCGTGGAGGCCATGGACTCCCCAGGTTGTGCTGCTCCCCGCTGTGACGTGTGCCTGAATTCTTGCTCAGGGAACTGGTACCACAGTGGCCCTCAGGGCCCCTCTGCTCCCGTTACAAGGCTGGGGTTCCTGGCCCTAGTCATCCCTTCAGTCATTCTTACACTTTGTTTGCTGGCCAGCTGTGGAGAGGCCTTCAGAAGGTGGCCAGGTGTGTCTGCAGACAACAGGGAGGCAGCCCCTCATTTCCCCGAAGTCCAGGTCTGGCTCTCATTAGGCTGCTGGGAGCCGCACGCCCATCTCTCCATTGCCCAGGTGGCTGTGGGGTGATCACTGGTCAGGCCTGGAGCTGGAATCGGGCTCATTCCTGCCAGAACCTTGAGCTCTGAGAATGGAAAAGAGAAGGAGGGAAGCAGATGCTGTAGGGGCGAGAGCAGCCCAGGACTCCCCCTCCAGATTTTTCTGCCTTGGTGCATGTACTGTAGTCCATGACTTCCCTTATGCCTTTATCTGATGGGGCTCTTCACTGTGACCCCCTGTGTACGTAGGTCAAAACACACATCTCAGCCCAGAATGCTGCCGAGATGCAGATGGGCCAGGGTGGTGAGGAGGGAGTAGGCTCAGGGTCCCCGGGCCCGCACTGATGGTGTCTGTGCCCCTTGCAGGTGGAGTACGTCATCAAGTGCGACATGTCTGCCCTGCAGCGTGTGCTGTACCGGCACATGCAGGCCAAGGGTGTGCTGCTGACTGATGGCTCTGAGAAGGACAAGAAGGTTGGCCTGTCCCCACATTCCCACCTAGGTGTTCAGGGGGGTGGGTTTGGGACAGCAGGGTGTGTGGGGCCTGAGCACGCTGTAACCAGTGGGCCTTCCGCGTCCTTGGAGCTTATTGTGTGGTCAGGGCCCCATCTCGTGGTGATCCCCAGGGCACTGCAGAGCTATTATTTAAGTCACAGCTGGTGTGGACAGGCTCGGTCAGTAATTTTGTGGGAGCAGAGGCTCATGGCCTGTTGCTGGGGCATACTTAGTTCTCCACCACCCTCCCAAGTCAGCTGTTGCCTGGTGTCCTCTTTACTGATGAAAATCTTAGCCCCATAGGGTTCAATGTCAGCGGCATGGGGCCCCACACTAACTCCTGCAGTTAGACTGTCCTAGTTAACCCCACCCTCCCAGCTGGGAAAAAGCTGCCTCAACAGCGATGATCTCTTAGTCCCTTCACCTTGTTAGCAGGTGGTGTTGAAGGGCAGGCATAGGACTGGGGGTTGGGCAGGCTGCTGCCTTCTGGGATCTCTCTGAGGCCCACCTCCCCCAGCTCACCTCACCAGAACTGAAATTATCCCCCCAGATCTCTTGATTCTGTACCCGATGCCTTGAGTTTGGCCCTGCCTCCCGATTTCCTCCTCTAGATGATTTATTTGGGCTCTTTCTTTCTGGAGCTGTGGTAGCAACGTGTCTCCTGGTTTCTGTCCTACAGCACCCACTCACCCCTGAATCCTTCCTCCCCCCCGTGAATCACAAGCACCCTCTTAAGTCAGGCCCGTCTGGCTGTAGCCCCCCAGGGACTTGCCATGATGCCCAGAGTGAAGCTAGACTCAGAGAGTGCTTGTGATTCAACCTCAGCTCCGTCACTCTTACTTCCCTTCCACCTCCCCAGTGCGCCAGGCAGTCTTTGCTACTCCCAGAGCTGGCTTCAAACCTCTGAGCCCCCACAGGAGCCAGCTCCTCACCTCTGATTTCTCTGCCGCAAGTCGTACCTGCCCCTAAAGCTTCTCCTTCCACAGCCCCCTTTCTACCACCCACCCTGGGACAGGAGCCAATTTTTGAGACTCTCTTCTTTTCTCTGCAGGGCAAGGGCGGCACCAAAACCCTGATGAACACCATCATGCAGCTGAGGAAGATCTGTAACCACCCGTACATGTTTCAGCACATCGAGGTAAGCCCTCCCCAGCCCTGCCCTGAGCCCTCATCGCTGGGGACAGCGAGCCCAGCTGAACCCCCTACACAGAACCCCCTGACAACTTCAAAAAAAGTATTTTATAATATTTTGAATAGACGATGTCTATTGAGTTACATTTTTAAAGTGCGTATGGACAAGAATCTGAACCGTGTAGGAAAATAAGTGATAGAAATAGAAGCGCCAGAAAGCCCACCTTCAGATAACCACAGAGTATTAGGAAACTCTTCTTGGGTTGTTTACCACCTGGTGGGGTCACACCGTCTGTGTTCGTTGACACACCAGTGTTTCCCACTCGGGGACATTTAATGCCATCCTTGGTCATTGCCTCCACTCAGAGCAGCTTTTCTCTTCATGAAGTTGCTCGGTCATAACCATTTGGGCCAAGAGGCCCTTCGAGAGTTTGGATTACTGCTTCTGCAAAGCCACGCATATGTTCATGTTTTTTGGCATAACGTTTCAGGGTTGTTGGAATACCCTGGATGCCCCTGGGGTTTCGTTTCAGCACTCAGGGAGGTCTCACGCACACGATGTTCCCATGTGACCATTTCTGTGCTTAAGAATATTATGTCCTGACTTCCTTTCCTTTATTAGAAGAATACAAAGGAACAGTCATGGTGGGACAGAAAAGTTTGCCACCTGTGTGGCCTCAGAAGAGCCACTGTGGGCAATCCCTGAGCACCGATGTGAGGGGTCAGAGGTGTGCGGGGCAGCCCGTCTCTGCCCCTCGACCACTGAATTCTCTCTCGTTCCGTTGCAGGAGTCCTTTTCTGAGCATCTGGGGTTTACCGGCGGCATTGTCCAAGGGTGAGACGCTTCCCAGCTGTGTGGGGTGGGCAGGCGGGCCACCAGGTAGTGTTTCTCACATGTTCTGTTGGTTTTATTACATTGGTCCAATTTCTAAGGCACCGTATTCAGGGCAGAAAATTCAGAAACCATAGACAAACTTGAAGAAAATAAAAATCCTCCTCATGTTGGGAGTTGCCCACCATTAGTCCCAAGAGACAGAAATTCTAGGCTGACCTGCTTTCCTGTCCTCACTCTGCTGCCTCCCTCCCTCCCTCACGCTCTGTGAACCTCGACAGCTTTCTTAACCACGTGGCGCCTCGCAGTCCCCCACACAGTGTGCTGCCCACCGTGCTGTGGCTGCATTTCTCTCTAGCATGTTGTTTGTGAAGGGCCGCCCAGGCTTTGTTAAGCCCCTGGCGTTAGACATGGAAACTGCCTCTGGATTTCACCATTGCCAACAGCCTTGCTAATAACATTGTTGTAGCTAAAGCCACCGTTGTTTCTCAGGAATACTAAGCCACTTCCAAGAGCAGAGGTACCACATCAAAGAGCAAAAATATCTTTTGAGGTGCATTTTTTATTCCACGTTGCCTAATGGTGTCCCACAGATGTGGATTTGAGTTCTGGCGGGGGCATAGTGGCAGCCATGTTGAACTGTCCCTCCAGCCTCAGTTCCCACATCTGTAAACTGGGGTTTGTAGACCAGAGTGATTGAGAGGAGCTGCGGCGGCCCTTAGCCCTGCCTGTTACTCAGTGTGGGCCTTGTACAAACCCGGCTGTTGCTCCTGGTTCTTGAACAAAATGGAGACGTTGTTGCAGCCTAGTTACCAATACCAGCTCTTCTCACTCTTGCAAGTATGTGGTCACCCTTGACCAAGGATGGCTCGAGTTTTAGTCGGGTTGAAACGTCTTTGCTAAATCTTCATGGGCTGTGGGGATCTGCCCAGGAAGCCACTTCTGTGCCCTTGCCCCTGACGGCCAGCCCGCGTAGACTGGTTCAGGTCAGCCTGGAGACGGGAGCGTGCCGCCTCCTTTCCCCGCCTGCAAGGTACCGTGCTTAACATACACCGTGTGTATTCTCCCCTCCTCCCTCCACCGACCAGGCTGGACCTATACCGAGCCTCAGGGAAATTTGAGCTCCTCGATAGAATTTTGCCCAAACTTCGTGCCACCAACCATAAAGTGCTGCTCTTCTGTCAGATGACCTCTCTCATGACAATCATGGAAGATTACTTTGCGTATCGTGGCTTTAAATACCTCAGGCTCGATGGTGAGTATGACTGAGAGAGATTCGTTAGGGGGGCTCATTATGCACAGCTACCAAAGCTTCTGGCCTGCTTGCCCTCCCATGCAAGGCAGGGCAAGGCCCGAAGACTCTAAGTGTGTGTACTGGCGGGAGTGAGCGGAGCAGTGTACTCGATTAAACAGAGCTCTATAAGCATTGTGACTGGATCGGGAGCCAGTGGCCCGGGAGGCTTCCTGGGTCTTGGCATTACAACGCTGTTACAGGGTACCCAGCAGTGCTCTTTTGGTTGGAAGTGACAGAAACCCATACAGTACATGCTTTGGGGAAAAAGCCTTGATAGACTCATAACTGAGCCCCAAATATTATCTTGTTTTAGGCACTGCTGAATACAGGTTTCTAGATTATATTGCAGGGGCTTTTCTGGAGCTTGTGGCTCCTTTGTCCTCAGGCATCCCCTGCAGGCTTTCCTTCCCACTGCTCTGAGTCCTGAACAAGGGCAGCCCTTCATTTCCCAGAAGTCCAGGTCAGGCTCTCATTAGGCTGGTGTGAGCTGCACGCCCACCTCTCCACTGCCCAGGTGGCTGTGGAGCAATTACTGGTCGGTCCTGGGGCTGGAATCAGGCTCATCCCTGCCAGAACCTTGAGCTCTGAGAATGGGAAAGAGAGGGAGGGAGGCAGATGCTGTAGGGGCGAGGGCAGCAAGAACCCCAAGGAACAGCACTTGGCTATGACTGCGTTGTCTCATAAAAAGTTTGCATTCCTGCCTTTTTCCCACCACCAGGGAGCTAGGGTCAGGGGCGGGCTGAGTGAGGTACTGACAGCATGCAGGACATGTCGTGGGACATGTTGTATGACGCGTCCACTAGCCAGGGGAGGGGGCGGTGCCAGAGGGAGTTCCCCTACTCTGGTAGATGGTGGGAGGGAACTCGGGTCATGAGAAAAATGAACTTGGGAGGCGTGGGAGTGAACATGGTTAGGCAGCTGTCTTCATTCCCCACACGACTTCTCAGAACCTTTAAACACGTTGCCAAGTCCATCTCCATGGCCAGATACCCCAGACCTCTGTGCTCCTGTTTTGTCTTTCACTGTGCATCTGTGGAACTGATTTCAGAGACCATGGACCTCTGGTTGCTGGGCTGATCGAACATCGGCCTCTGCCCTCCCTGCCTCCACCCAGAACTGCCCTGAATCTTGCCTTTTCTCAGCTTGTCCTTGAAATTCTCCCTCGGGCAACCTTTAAGAACACAAATCTGATCAGATGTCTCACCTCGCTCCTCCCTCTGTGCCTTGGCCTCTCCAGCTGCTCCCCCATCCTTTGGGAGGGCCAGCCCATGCCCCTGGGAGAGGCCGTATTTGGAGAATGTATTCCCACCCTCTCAGTGCCTGTCCACCTGCCCCCTTTGTCCCTCGACACAGGTCCTCTCTCTGTCAGGGTGAGCACTTTGTGGGTTAGGCATGGTTCATCCCTAGTACCTCTCCTGGTTACGGCCACACAGGAGGAAACTAGTAGAGAAGGGAGGAAGGGTGGGGGCTCAGTGACACATGGTGAAAAGTGGAACTTTCCACCGTCGGAGTAGGAAGAGTGAGGGCGCAGGCCTGGCATCTGGGAGTCAGCCCCTCCTCCAGGTCTGTCCCTGCCCCACTTGAGGCATCAGCCCACCTCAGATCTGGTGCAGCTGTGGGCACATCTGGACCTCAGGCTCTGGTGGGCAGCGGACCTTTGGACTGTTCATTGGGGTGTGTAGGTGAGTGATAGGAAGTGTTTAATTTTTGTTTCATCACCAAAAATGACTCCTGAATTCACCAAGGCATCTCTGCTCTGAGCTGGCAGCAACCTGAGAAACTTGGTTGCCTCTCTGACACTCCTGATGCTGAGGATCTTGTCGTAGGCCATCCCCCAAAAGTCCCTGTAACTGAGGGGAAGCCTGTCCTGCCCAAAGGGAAAAAGCTCCCTGATATAAGGGGCCTGTGTGAGCCTGCAGGATGTCTTCTCTGTGAACAAATCCCATTGTAGTAGGGTTGAAGACAGGCTCTTGGCCTTGGGTCAGTTACTTGTTCCCATGTTTTGGGGGTGTAGTGTTACCGACACTGGCTAGGTGGGCAGGGACTGGTGGTAACAGCAGCACTGACCAGGCACCCTTGTTGCCTGGGTGTTACTGGGCTGAAGCCCGCACCTGCATCCCCGTTCTATATGGAGGAGGCACAGCCACATCTTTGGGGCTTAGTGTCACCTTTAGGGGTGGGGAGAGTGGCATTTAGTTGTGTCACTGCAAATCTAAGACACTAATTGCAACTCGGGGCCATGAGTTGAGCTAGTGTGACTGTGGCTTAGGTGGCCCCTGGGGGCCACATGTGGGTGTGGCCCCTGGGGGCCACATGTGGGTGTGGTCCCTGGTCTCCAAAACAGGTGTTCCTCTCTGTCTCTCTTCCCCACCACCTGTCTCCCCTCCCAGTTGCCCTGCTAACCCTGTTCTCCTCACACCCGGCAGGAACCACAAAAGCAGAGGATCGGGGCATGCTGCTGAAAACCTTCAATGAGCCTGGCTCCGAGTACTTCATCTTCCTGCTTAGCACCCGGGCTGGGGGGCTCGGCCTGAACCTCCAGTCGGCTGACACTGTGATCATTTTTGACAGTGATTGGAACCCTCACCAGGTAAAAGCCGCTGGCACTCTGTGGGGAGAGGCTTGAGGCCACCGTCATGAGCGCTACCGGCCTCCTTGACACGTCCCAGGCCGTGGAGCAACAGCACCTGCAGCTCCCGAGGCCCTCGGAGGGAAGCCCAGAGGGCATTCTTCCCCTCTTTCTCAAACTGAAAGGAGATTTTGTTCTGATTATGACAAAAAGAAAATTCTTTTGTCATATGTACTAAACATCTTGGTATAACACAAACATGGGAAGAAAGTGGAAAAGGCCTCAGTCCTCTCAGCTGTCACTTAATCACTGCTGGTTTTTTTAAAATTGATTTTTATAGAAAGAGAGAAAGGTGGATTTGTTGTTCCATTTATTTACGCACTCGTTGTTTGTATGTGCCCTGACCGGGGATCCAACCTGAAACCTTGGTGCGTCAGGACAACACTCTAACCAACTGAGATACCCGGCCAGGGCTGTGAGCTGAGCTGTCAGTGATGGGAGTCCTTCTAGGTGGCGTTCCAAGTGACCACTCACACCCTTGTGCTTTGTAAAACACATGGTATATTTTATGTGCCTGATGAACTGCTGCTCTGTTTCTGACCTGTACACCCTCGGGGGCCGTGCCACGGAGGTTTAAGGATGTGGTATTTTGTAGATACAAGGGTTTTAAAGTACTTAATTTTTTCCTATGTTTTATTATAAAATTAACTGTTTAAAAATGCAGATAGTAGTAACTCAAAAAGTGATGCAGAGTTTCTTCTTCTCCCCACCCACCCCGCTCTGCTCTGGGCGCATGCCAGCATCTGATCTAGCTGTGTGCTCCGTTTTTCACAAAAATGCAGCATGTTCCAGGACATGTCCCTTCCCTTCAGCAGCTGATGTGTTCTGCCTGTGTGAGCACCCTAGGTCCCCGCCCAGTCATTAATCCGCTGCTGGCTGTCCCAGCACGTGGTGGCCCTGAGGCCTTGAATTCAAACTCCAGTTATCAGGAGTCTGGGTTTCTGTTTCTTGGCGTGACCAGCGGCCCCTCTCAGGGAGCCCTGTTATTCCTCTCAGCACACCGGCCAGGTCAGCCCCGAGAGGTGGGATTGCCTGGTCCAGGGGTTTGTCCCCTACATGATGTGCTTATTTATGCCCCAGTGGCCTCCAGAAGGCTCCCTAGGTTTCTCTCCTGTCGGGGTGTGAGTATGGCCTCACCACATCCTAGCAGCACACATTATCAGTGTGGAAATGGTAACCCATCTGGTAGACGAATGCCCCGGATGTTTGCTGCTACCCCTTCCTGTGATCAGCTGGGGGAGTAGTTCCTGCCTGACTTTGATGACTGGCAGTTTCCCAAAAGGTGATTGGGGTGTGCCGCTCCTGTCAGCAGGAGCCCTCTCCTCCCTCTGTCTCACTGGAAGGCATCAGAAGCTACTAGACTCACTGTAGGGCTTAGAAGCTGTCATCACATGGTGGCACTGCCAGGAAGTGTGTTGGCCAAGCCAGGAGGCCGAGTGGTGGACATGGGGCATTCTTGTCTCCAACCAGGTGTGGCCTCTGCTGCCTCCATTGAGTGCTGATTTCAAGTTCAGCCCCACACATGGCACCAGCCCTCTAACACAGGATTTTGTGGGAGCCCTCCTGGTTCTGTGCTGGGGGTGATGATGCAAATAGCATTGTCAGTCATAGCTCTTTCTCTATCAGAGCTTGCTCCACACCGGGCACTGGGCTGAGCACCTGATACTCATTCTCCTCTCTCACCCACACAATAGCCTGCGAGAGGGACTCCTGTCAACAGTGAGTCCTGAGGCTAGAGAGATTGGGATTGGCCTCATTGCACAGCAAGGAACTGCTAGGGACCACAGCCAAAGCAGGCATTTCCAACATGCTGTCCAGCTTTGTCCCCGTCCTATAAATGGTGCCTTTATCATGGTACAGCCACGCTGAGCACAAGGGCCCTCCTGGGGTAGGCAAGGGGACCTGTGCAACGGTTAGAGGAGCCGCTTGGGAATATAACCACCCCAGCGGCTGTCCTCCAAAACTGTGCAGTCTTAAGTATTTCTCGAATCTCACTAAGGTAGAAAGTGACACTTCTGCAGGAATTCAGGGTGAAATCATCCTAGCACAGGCTCCATGTCCTGTACCTGAACTCTTCACTGTGCAGCTGCTGGTTGGGGCTGACAGAATGGCCAGGCAGGAGGCAGGCATTCAGTAATCAGAAGGCCCCTACCACTCCTGATGGCTTCACCTGGTCAACATCCCCTTACAACTCTAAAGAGCTTGCTTGGGACTGACCAGTGTCTATTTCCCAGGATCTGCAAGCACAGGACCGAGCCCACCGCATCGGGCAGCAGAATGAGGTGCGCGTGCTCCGCCTCTGCACGGTCAACAGTGTGGAGGAGAAGATTCTGGCCGCGGCCAAGTACAAGCTCAACGTTGACCAGAAGGTGATCCAGGCTGGCATGTTTGACCAGAAGTCCTCCAGCCACGAGAGGCGCGCCTTCCTGCAAGCCATCCTGGAGCACGAGGAGCAGGATGAGGTGAGGGCAGCGCCGGCCCCGACCCCCTCCCCAGCGTGAGTGGTGAACGCATGAGCGGCTTTCATTTTTGTTTTTTTACCTTTTTTGCACTCTTATTTTTTTTGCATCCCTTTGGAGTAAAGGGAGTGTGGGCTGAAAGGAAAGAGGATGAGTACTTGCTTTTTCTTTGAAGTGGTTTTTTTTTTCTAAACTGCTGGTGAAAGACGCCGGATTGACAGCCCTGGAGACTGAAGTCCTCTATTTATCCACAGAGCAGACACTGCAGCACGGGCAGCGGCAGTGCCAGCTTCGCCCACACTGCCCCTCCGCCAGCGGGCGTCAACCCCGACTTGGAGGAGCCACCTCTAAAGGTGAGAGGGGTAGTTCAGTCTCCATGCCCATTCAATCCTCGGCTTCTCGGCTGAGACGGCCAGCAAGAGCCCTGATCCCACGGAGCGTGCGTGTGCGTGTGCGTGTGTGCCTCTCGCTGCCGTGTGGGTCCCCATCCACCGCAGCCGTACTGGGACCACCAGCTCATTTCCCATGGATGCCGCCGCTCGCCTCTGAGCCCGGCTGCCGCCCACCCTGGCCTCTCCGCCCTCACACTAATCGTGTGAAATCTTGTAGGAAGAAGACGAAGTGCCTGATGACGAGACTGTGAATCAGATGATTGCTCGGCACGAAGAGGAGTTTGACCTCTTCATGGTAAGCGCGCAGGTCGGGTTAGAGATGGTATTTCCACCTTGCACACCTTCAGGGAACTCAGTTTGCTACCCACAGGAAGCTGGGAGCCTGGAGGGGTTTGCACACCCCACCCTGATGACCTCAAACAGCAAAAAGTCTGTGTCAGGAGTGTCCCTGGAGGGTAATGGAGCTGGGGTGGCTCCACAGTGCCTCCTGACTGACCCATCGTCCATGTCCTAAGCGAAGCGGAGGGGATAGTGGGACACATACCCAACCCTCTTCTTGTTTGTGACCCATGCCCCCAAATGCCTGTCCTCCTTGAGGCTCCCTTTCAGACGGCTGGCAAGGACCTTGATCCCTGATACCTCTTGCTCCTGGGTGGGAAGCATGGAATTAGATGGGGCTCTTGGCCCTGCCAAGCCTTGCACCCCCTGGCAAAGCTATACCTTAAAGCTGTCAGCCCATTTGGGTCCCCCTTCTATGACCTTCCCATCCTTTCCAGTTTTCTCTGTCTCTAAGGCAGAGCCCCTAGCCAGAGCCCGAGGTAGGAGTCAGGTGGTTCAACCGCTGTTGAGGTATTGGTCCCTGGGGCAAAGAAGCAATCCCTTGTCAACTTGCCCCCTTGCACGTCCTGCTGGTTCTCCCTGTGCTGACGCTTCTCTCCCTCGGTTTCCGCCCTCCCCCGATCCCCAGCGCATGGACCTGGACCGCAGGCGTGAGGAAGCCCGCAACCCCAAGCGGAAGCCTCGCCTGATGGAGGAGGATGAGCTCCCCTCGTGGATCATCAAGGATGACGCTGAAGTGGAGCGGCTGACCTGTGAGGAGGAAGAGGAGAAGATGTTTGGCCGTGGCTCCCGCCACCGCAAGGAGGTTGACTACAGCGACTCGTTGACTGAGAAGCAGTGGCTCAAGGTACATGCCAGAGAGGTCTGGTGAGGGGAATGGCTGGGGAAGGACAGGCTCAGCTGCCATGACTTGGCTTTTGTCTGAAACCTGAGGGGGTTCCCTCAGCCTTTCTTGCTTTCCATTCATGACTGCAACTCTTCTCCCATAGGGTCAGGTTGATGCAGGTCCTCCTGACCAGATGCGGAAGGAGCACCACACCAGCTCAAAACCCACTGCTGGTGTAATTGGCATTTTTGGGTGTCAGCCTGCACCTCTTCATGTGGTTAAAGTAAAACATTGCCAGTTGCCAAATGATGCAGGTCTCCTGAATGTTTGTCCGTAGGAAACACAGTGAGAGATTAGTGAGCATCCAGTCTCCCTGCAAGGTGGTAGGGAGTACCAACGGGTCAGACAGCCCTGCTTTGGACACGTCAACCCCGTACCACGTCACCCCTAGGGCCTGGACTCCTGGCCAGGCTGGGAGGAGGGAACAAGCTTCTCATGAGACTGGAAGCCATGGCTGTTCATGGAGGTGATGTGAGCACCCGTTTTCAGCAGGCAGCATCCTGCCCTTGTAGCTGCAGCTGCAGAATGCTCAGTTAGGGCCCCAGCCCAGGGCCCACTGCATCTACACTGGGGTTGTGGGAGTAAATGAGACCTCTCTCCATGTTCAGGGGCTCTGACTGCAGAGGTGACAATTAAATATCCACCCTGGAGGTTGTTTCATACAAATGTCTCTGAAGCAGCACTTTCCAGAAATAGATGGTGGCTTTTGCTGCATCTGGCTGAGTGCCACAGCCCAAAATAAGAGATGCTGCCCCCAGTCATACACCCCGGAGTTACCCTGGATTAACTGAGACATGGTTTCTACCTGGGAGCGCAGATGACCCCAGACTTGCAAACTTGCCCACTAAACTGTGCATGAGGGGGCTGTCGAATCATGCCAGGGAACCAGGCGAACCTTCGTGTGTGTGGGTGTGGGGGCCCTGTTTTCTGGCCCAGGGCTCCGGGGCCAGTAAGGAAACCCCTGACGAGGGAGCTCGGGCCCAGTTACAGACCCGTCACAGCCTTTACGGAGCATCACCACATTTTGGAGACAGTCAGTGGGTGCTTTTTGCTTATATGCTAATGTTTCATGCACACTTCCCTCTCTTTTTTTTTTGAGGTGTAATTTATACTGTAGAGTTCACCCATTTAAGATGTGCGTGTCAGCAATTTTCACTCCATATACAGTCATGCAGCTGTCGTCACAAATCCATTTTAGAGTAGCCTCATCATCCCAGAAAGAACCCTCCCCTCTTTCACTCCCCATTTCTTCACTCCCGCCGCAGCCCCTGACAGTCACCCTGTCCTGCATGTTTCGTATAAATTGAATCTTTATACGATTGATATAAATCAATCAGCATGTGATCCTCTGGTGTCTGGCTTCTTTAGGCAAAATATTTTCATGGTTTCTCCATGATTTAGCACATATTATTTCTTTCCAAGGCTGAATAATATTTTAATTTTTTGAATGGCTATACCACATTTTCTTTATCCATTCATCAATTAATGGACATTTGGGTAGTCTCTACTTTTTGGCTGTTGGTGAGTAATGCCACTCTGAACATCTGGACGAGTTTTTCGGAGGACTTGTGTTTTGATTTCTCTCAGGTACATGCCTAGAAGTAGAATTGTGAGATCCAGTGGCAGTTCTGTGTTTAACCTTTTGAGGAGCTGACAAGCTGGTTTCCAGAGAAACCGCACCATGGTACTACACCCCCACCAGCAGAATATGAGGAAATTTGTCCTCATCCTTGTTAATACTTGTTATCTGTCTTTTTTATTTTAGCCACTCTAATGGTATAAAGTAGTTGGCATCTCTTTGTGGTTTTGAGTTCCATTTCCCTGGTGACTAATGGCCTTGAATATCTTGCGTTTATTGGCCACTTATATACCTTTCATATGAGTCTCTTTATCAGATATGTGACTTGAAAATACCTTCACCTTTTCTGTTGGTTATCTTCTTTATGGTGTCCTTTGGAGCACAAAAGTATTTATTTTCGATGAAGTCCAGTTTATCTATTTTTCTCTTACCACGTTTCCTTTGGTATCATATCTGAGAATCAGTCCATCACCAAACAAGATCACAAAGATTTACCTCTTTATTTTCTTTCAATAATTTTAGAGTTTCAGCTTTTACACTTATGTCCACGATCCTCTTGAAGTTCATTTTTGTATATGGCAGTAAGTCAGGGTCCAGCTGCCTTCATTTCCATGCGGCTATCCAGTTGGCCCAGTACTGTTTGTTGAGAAGATTGTTCTTTCCCCATCAAACACACGCCTTTTTGTTTGTCATACTCAGTAAAATTTACACTAATAGAGAACACATTTGCCCACAACGGGCACTCTTCTCTCTTGGTGCTGGGTGTGTAACTGGCACCATTTTTTGACAGCCACTCTGATGCTACATGTGCCCAGATACTTCTGAATGTTCCTTGCTCTTGCCTGGCTGCCTGTTGGACCAGAGATGCTGGTATTAGGTAGTTGCCCAGGCTGCTCTAACAATTACCACAAACTTGGTGGCTTAAAACAACAGTGATTGATTCTCTCCCAGTCCTGGAGAGTGGGGTGTCTAAAATCCAGGTGTCAGAAGGGCCCTGTTCCCCCCAGAGGCTCAGGGAAGGATCCTTCTTTGCCCCTTGCAGCTTGTGGCGGCGCTGGCATTCCTTGGCTTGTGGCCATATCCTTTGACTGTCTGCCTCCATCTTTATATCCTCTTCCCTGTATGTTTCTCTGTGGCCCTTTCTGTCTCTCCTGGGGTCACTCTCGTTGGACTGGGGGCCCACCATAACACAGGGTGACTCATCTCACTCGATTCTTATGTAATTCTGTCGGCAAAGATCCTGTTTCCAAATAAGATCACATTCTGAGGTTCTGGGTGGCTCTGAATTTTGGGGGACAGTATTTAACTCTGTCTCCCCAGGCTTGCAGTACACGGCCTCCCCCACGCTGACCTTCTTTCCTCCCTCCTTCCTGACACACTCCCTTCATGCTGTTCCTTTGGCTTGGACGCCTTTACCTGCCTCCAGCCTTCATTTTGCAGCTTCAGTGCCACCTCCTCTAGAAGCCTCCCCCACGTCCAAGCAGGACACGTCTGCTCCACGGCCACAGCACCACTCCCCCTTCTCCTGGCACTCGACAGGGTTGTCACTGCATTTGTGGGAAGTCTGTCGGATTAGGGTCCACCTGGCTCCATTTGGTGCTGTGTCCTCAGTGCCCAGCCCTCTGCCCAGCCCATAGCCCCAGTCGATAAATAAGAGACGAGCGACCTGCACATCCCATTGGATCCAGGCCCCACTCCCTTTTTGGATTCCAAGCTCCCCTGGAAACCTGGCTTCCCCTCTCTTTGTTTGCAGGGATAAATGTGCAGATTACTTACCATTCGGAATAAACAAATCGTGATCATTTGCAGATTAACATTGCTCATGTTCACATTCTTCAACTCAGCAGTTTTATTTCTAGGGATCTATACAAAAAAGACAGGTATAGTCACAGCATTATGTAGAATAGCCATGCCCACCCCAGGTAATGGAAATAACCCGAATGCTCAAGAACAAGTAAGGCCCTTTGTGCAATGAAATACTAAATAGGCATTAAAAATTATGTTGCAGAAAAACGGCAGGAAATGCACCCGGGCTGTAGTAAGCAAAAACATGAGTCATGGTGTGGTACGTGGATACAGCTCTCTGCTGTCTTGGTCGTGCACATGTACACGGGAAGGGCAGGGGGACCCTGAGCTGGGTGCGGTGGTGGTTGCCCTCACTGTGAAGGTACCTCATGCCACAGAACCGTGCACTTAAAATCTGTTTTTCACTGAACTTTTTAGAAGAGGTGCCGTGGGTCCAGAGCACAAGTGTTGACGGTGTCACTTCTGGGTGGAGGGATTACAGGAGTCCATTCCATGGGCTCCACACAGTGCAGATGTGCCTCTTTAACTCTCAAGCACAACCCTTTATTTGGGAAGAACAGGCACGGGTATGGTGCACTCTGGGGAGGCAGAGCAGCCTTTGCTGGCCTTTCAGAGCCTACGTGAGCCTTGGTGTGTGTCCTGCCCCAGCCAGACCCATGGGTTTGCGCGGCGGCCTCTACTTGTCAACCTCGGTGCTGGCTGTCCTATTTTACCACTATTGACCCTGAAGGCCATCGAGGAGGGCACGCTGGAGGAGATCGAAGAGGAGGTCCGGCAGAAGAAATCATCGCGGAAACGCAAGCGGGACAGTGACGCCGGCTCCTCCACCCCGACCACCAGTACCCGCAGCCGTGACAAAGATGAGGAGAGCAAGAAGCAAAAGAAGCGCGGGCGGCCACCTGCCGAGAAGCTCTCCCCCAACCCACCAAACCTCACCAAGAAGATGAAGAAGATTGTGGATGCCGTGATCAAGTATAAGGACAGGTAAGCTGAGGAATTGGGTGGATGGATGGATGCTGGGGGTCTTCAGAGGTGCCTCACCTGGCCATCCGTGGGCCGTCCGCTATTGGCCTGGCCATTCTACAGCATTGGTTGGACCCCTGTGTCATGATACTTCACCCTGAAGGAACTTAGGTTCTGGGACCAGGAGGCACACGGGTGGTGTCGGCATGAGGAAAGGGAACTACAAGTAGGGGGGGGTGTTGGGGGTGAGTTCTCCAGCAGAGGCCACAGTAAGTGGAAAGTCTCCGGGATGATGGGTGGCTGGCGGGTTTGAGGTTAGTGATGGGGCAAGGTGGCACGAGAGGGATGCCTGTCTCACGGCCACTGCACTGTGGGGGTGGGCGGAGTTGCTGGCACAGGGAGGGTGTGACTTTCCTTCTCTAGGCTTCCCCACCCTGACTCACTGTCCCCGTACCTACATGACAAGCAAGTCCAGTTTTCACACTGGGCCATCGCAGTTCAGCCACTCGTTGCCTCACCGCTTTAGGCACCGTGGCCCCGTCCTCAGAGGCACCAAATACGAGACAGTACGTGCTTTCAGCTACAGTGGCTCTGTTTGTGGCTCATAAGTACCGTTTAAATAATAATAAAATCAAGGTTCTCCGGCAGCCCTCCAAGGAGACATGCACATTCTGCCAGCGCAGGGTGGGGTGTGTGGAGCTGCAGAATGCGGCCAGGACGCAAGGCCTGCACCTTTCCCAGAACTCGGCTGTGCTTCCACTTCCCAGTGTCTTACTTCACTTTCTGGTGCATACTGGCCGACACGGCTGTCCCCATGACAGAAGGGTGTGCTGCTCGATTTTATAGCACTGCTTTGCAGTTAGCCCTGAAAGAGCGAATTTTTGTCCATAGGAGGAAAAAGTGCATCATTTGGAGAGACACCAAGCGTGAAATTTGGGGGGTTGGTGACAATTGTGGTATCCAAATGGTACGCACTGACCTTAAAAAAGAATCTTAATATCAAAGAAGAACAAATGATGAACTAAGAAAGAGGCACATTTGATTTCCAACTGCTGGACCTAAAAATGTAATTAGTGTCAGTATTGAGAAGAAAATATTAACATTAATGTGCAGACTTGACCTTTGAGTCAAGTTCCATAAAGAAAAATGTAGAAAGTAAAATATGTCATGTGGAAAAATCCAATGGAAACAGTAGACCTGGTGTGTTTTTTTTTCCTTAATGATGGTCTTGTGAAAGAAACTTAAAATTACCAAAATGAAGAAGAGCCTGGGAGGCCAGCGGGACAAGGATGGACTTCACAGCAGTCGTGCTGGTCTTTCGGGTATCCATGTGGAGGAGAGCCGTGACGCACTGTATACACATGTATTAATGTGAAGTGGATAATAGACATGATGTGTAAGGTAGAACAAAGTTCTAGAAGAAGGCATGGGAGAAAGTCTTCATGGCCTTGAAGCAGACATTGACTTCCATAATAGGACAGCAACTCCATTACCCATAAAAGACATAACTAAGCCCTGGCTTGTGTGGCTCAGTGGATTGAACGCTGGACTGCAAACCAAAGGATCGCCAGTTCAATTCCCAGTCAGGGCACATGCCTGGGTTGCAGGTCAGGTCCCCAGTAGGGGGCATACCAGAGGCAGCCACTCATTGATGTTTCTCTCGGTCTCTCCTTCCCTTCCCCTCTTTCTAAAAATAAAATCTTAAAAAAAAAACACTTTGCTACAACCGTTCATCCAAAGACCTGCTCCTGAAGGCCATGGAAACTCCTGCATAGACTGGAAAGAGAACACTCAGTTTGAAAATGGGCACAAGGCATGAACGCTCAGGCTCGTTGCATCGACAGCATCGGGTGAGAGTCAGGTGCCTCTGCACACTCCACAGACTGGCTGCAGTTCCTTCAGGTGCTGATGAAGATGTTGAGCAGTTGGACCTCACACACTGCCCCGGGGAGTGAGCAGCTCTTTAGCTGTATCTTCTAAAGCTCAACATAAAGATGAATTTTCAGACCCAGAACTTCAGCCCTAGTCGTGAACTTGGGAAGGGGGGTGCATGTCCACCGAAGGACTCGTACAAGCAAGTCTGTAGCAGCTTTGACACTACCTGCCCGGACAAAGCAGCCTAGTGTCCACCCCAGGAGAATGGTGATTGTGGCCCAGTCATACCGCAGAAGTCTGACAGCCGCAAGACCAGAAATACCACTGCTCCTGGGAAGCATCTTAAGTTTTGTTAAGTGGAAAAAGCCAGACACCAATGAGTTCCTGTTGTGTGCTTCAGTTATATGAAGAAAATGCTCATCAAGGTGTGTGTGTGTGTATCTTTAGTATATATACTTTAAGTATATGTACTTTCCTGTATAAGGTTGTACACCTCGGTTAAAAACAAAATAAAACACTTGGAGCCCTGACTGGTGTGGCTCAGTGGGTTGAGCGCCGGCCTGCAAACCAAAGTGTCACTGGTTCAATTCCCAGTCAGGGCACATGCCTGTGTTGCAGGCTGGGTCCCCAGTGGTAGCTGCACAAGAGACATCCACACATTGATGTTTCTCTCCTCTTTCCCCTTCCCTTCCCTTCCCTTCCCTTCCCTTCCCTTCCCTTCCCTTCCCTTCCCTCTAAAAAGAAATAAAATTGTATTTTAAATAAATAAATATCACTTGGAAATAGCAACCTGAACTTGTTAATGAGGCATTAGATGTTTTCAAACTAAAAAAAAAAAAAAAAAAGTCAACTATCTGTCCACTTTCTTGCTCATTCCCTGACTTCCTGGAAAACTTTTGTTAGCTTCATGTTTGGCTGTATATCATGTGTCCAAAAATGGCTTCTCCACCTGCTGCAAACAGTTGTTCTCCCAGCCTGTGTAAGGTTGGCTGGGACATCAGGCAATAAATAAAAGCTAGCTTTCAGGGATCAGTGACCCCTTGTCAAGACTGTTCTGTTGTGGAGCTCTGAGATCCTGGAGGGGGTTCCGAGGACCCGTTTGATGAGAACACCACACCGGAGTCACAGCTGCACTCTGGGCTGGCGTCAGGCCCATGTGGCAGGACCCCGGTCGGAGGGTGTGGTGCCTGGTGTGTATTTCATCTCCCGTCCTCCTGGTGCAGATACGGCGTCACAGAACTGGGGCTTCTCCACCAGGCAGGGAAGGACTATAGGGAGATACAAGGGGGTGGCAAACACGAACATTAAAGGAAGCTTCCATGTCCTGGTTCGCAGTTGATGCCGGGCTGTCCACTTGCTGGTTTTGCTGGTCGTCACATAGGAAGAGATCCGGTGGGCACATAAACCCAGGAGAACAGCCACGCTTTCCTGGTTGAAAAGTTACCTCATCTGGCAAATACTTTCAAAGATGATGTTTGGGTCCAAAGTTGACCGATTTAGTGGATATTTCTGGTGTTTTTAAACTGAATTTGAAACCATGGGGAAAACAGCACTGTGGGTTACCCTCTCGTGAGTGCGAGTGGCGGTGCATAGACCACCCTCGCTCACTGCCGGCACCGTCTGCAGTGTTCCAGGGTCCCCAAGACCGCCTTCAAGCTGGGTGGTTTTCTAGAAAACTCAGAACTCTGAAAGCTGTTACACTCATGGCTATAGTTTAGTACAGCAGAGGGACACAGATGAGAGTCAGCTCACGGAAGAGTTGCGTGGAGCAGCACCCAGGAGAGGTGCACACCTCGGGCTTCCTGTCGTCCTCTCCCCACGGAGTTGCAGATGGCACAGGTGGTGTTATAAAGGAGCGTGCACAGAGCACTGCCACCCAGGGAATCCTTGGTCCCTGGAGCTTTTATTGGACTTTGGTCACACACGCAACCAACTGCCCACGTGGGTGACATGTCTGTACCTCCTCTATAGATCGAATTGATACCACGTAACCCAGCACCCCTGCCGAGTCACATTCTTAGACTGTCTGGGCCCATGGTACCCCTCAGGCAGGACACTCCGGGGGTTGAGAGATTGCCTCTCAGTAGCCGAGGGCAAAGGCCAGACTTCTCTCCAAGTGGAGTTCCATTTTCTACAGCTACGTGCCACACACTGGAAGGTGCGAAAGGACTGGTCACCACCCAACGCCAAAGCACTGGGTAGAAAAAATGGAGGTTGCCTGACTCGCACTTGCTGTGTCTCAAACTTCCGATTGTTCCATTCCAGAGGGAAAATGGAACATATGGATTTTTTTAAGTTGGTTTCCAGTACCCTATAATCAGCTAAATTCTATACTTAGTTAAATCTGGACCCTGGGGAGAGAAAACTGTTACAACTTGGCTCTTCCTTGACACCAAAGGATGGTTTCAGGGCATTGTCAGCATTTGAACTCAGAGTCGGGAGGATGTGGTGCTGCTGTTTCTGTCCTGAGTGACCGCAGGTGACCAGGGTCACGCTCTGAGGTGGTGACTCAGAGTCTTTGCTGCATTTCTGAGCAGGGCCACCCTTTGTCGCTGGCATTGCTCCAAGTGGTTCATTTCAAGAATTCCCCTGTCGTATTTGCATAGCAGTGTAGTCTTGTATAACATTCCCTTCGTATCTGCATCCTCGCCTGTACGAAGGTGATGTCCTGTCTTGGAAGCTTTGCTTCCTTCACGTGTGTTCAGATTCAGGCCTTGCTCCTCCCTCCCAAGGCCCCATGTGCCCTGTGAGTGGCACTTCCTGAACTTGTGTGGCATCTGGCTGTCAAGCCATGGTGGCTCTCTGTTGGGTTGTGATGAAAATGAACTTTGCTGCAGGATTGTCGTGGACAAAAGCTTGGAGGGTGGAGGGTGCTGTGCTTTTGA